TGACATGTTACAGAAAGCAGATGTGTTAGTGAGCTAGAGGAAGGGAAACAGAAGAGAAATTCAAAATGGATGGAACGCCCTTGACTCTGCTGGTCACCTCCCTGGTTCTTCAGGCAGTGGCTCCTCCAGCTGAGGCAGTGGTCCCAAAGGATGAGCCCCTTGGACCAACCAGATGAGAAAGAGCATCAGGCTCACAAAAACATCTGTAGGCTTGTTAGAAATTGCAAGTGTCATAAATATGAACAATAGTTGGTGGAAAGGAAATCGTAAGACTCCATGTGAAAATTAACTTGGACACTCATCTTCTAAAACCTGTAATTATAAGGATTTTTTTTTTTTTTTTTTGACCTTTGAAATGCATTTCTGATCAAACACTGTGCTCAGAGTTGGATGCTGCCGAGACGTGTCCCAGGCTGGCACCTTTTGTATTTTGAACTGCAGCACACCATCACTTTCCAGGGTCGTGGCTGTGCTCAGACTGGATGTAAGGATTCAGGGACTCTTCTGATGGGGAAAACTGTGCTTCTTGATACTACACGGGATCCAGGCTTAGCCTCCCCTTTGATCTCTCAGCTCAGGGAGAGCAGGAGAAGCAGCTACTCCCAAGAAGAAGATGCTGCCTTACTCCGGAGCAGCGGTTGGCAGCTCAGGAGAAGCCAGGAGCCTGTCCTAGCAGAAGCAGAGCACTGTTGCTCGGCCGATCGGTGGTATCGTGCCCTTTTCTGTGTGCTTGGCACCACAGCTCCTCACTTCCAAGCAATGTATCTCTAGATCTGTGTCTAAACGAGGATCACCAGAATGCTGTCTGGAAATACCACGTACTTTGTATTTGCTCGTGTGCCTCATCAAGGCAATCCTACAGGTAACAGGCACGTGAGTGCTTTAATTAACCCCTCTTTGCTCTCCTCACTCTTGCAGGCTGCACTTTCATAGCTTTGGAAAACACCTTTTGATTGCTCACAGTTTGCATCCTTGGCCTTTGCTCAGCCAGGATTAACTCCGCAGACATTTTATCTGGAAAGGGAAAGAAAGAAAGACGTTCTCTGAGGGAGAAACGAAAGGGCTGGTCACACCGAGGGGGCTCAGCGCCAAAGGAGCAGCCCGTTTCACAGTCCACCGTGGTCCTTATTTCAGATGCACGTCCTACACGCTGCCCCAGCGGCACAGATCAAGGAGACCAAGCAAACGGGGCAAGGAAGCGTGAGAGTGAATCCGCCTGACCCAGCACCAGCTTCTTGGGAAGAGCACGGGTCAGATGGCCAGAGGCTGTCTGCTATGCACGATGCTAAGAACAACTATTTAGTCTCAACTGAGGACCCAGCGTAACTCCTGTCTAAGTCAAGGTGTATGTTCCCTCTGATATCAGCAGGGCTCTCTTTGAGCCCAGCAGGAAGAAATTGTGTAGAAAAACATGACCCTTAGATATGTATATGCGTGTCTGTGCATATATATAAAAGTATACATATGTGTCTCCACTGCACACACACGTACAGTGGGTCTTACCGAACTGCAGGTGTTTTGCCTGTTTTGCAGGACTTCAGTTGCCGGGTTTGTGTTCTTTCCAACTGGGAAATGCAAGGAGCAGACCAAAGCCTGTATTTTTACTGCTGGCACGATTGCTTCTGAGCTTCAAGTATCAGGCTTTGTCAGAGGGATAATCTGGATATCTATTAAATGGAGTGGCAATCTAGCGATGAGCACATTTTGCACAAGTAATTCTCATGGATGTGTGCTTCAGATCAGAGTTTGGGGACTCTCTGGTGCCAAGAAGAGGCGGCTTTGCCACCTTCGCTGTGTGTCTCTACCTGTTCAGCGCAGCCCCATCCCACTAGTTTCAAGGAATGGCTCATCTTTGCATTTTCTATTTGCTGTCTCTTGTTGCAGAACCAGAATTTTTTGCCCTGTGACTAATGGCTCTGGTCCAGCCTGCGTTTAAGCAATTGCACAGTCCAGCTTTCAGCTTCTATTCCAAGCAAGTCAAAAGTCCTAACCCACCTCCTCATTAGCCTGAGTGCTGGGCACAGTGGGCTGCAGACAAGCATGGTTTTATCTGCCATGGTTCTTTAACAGCAGTCCTCAATGCAGAGACTGAAGTGTGATTTGCAGCACATCTTGAGTGACTCAAAGCTGCATTTATTCCAGAGGACCCAAGACACAAAGTTTGATTCAGAACTGACCTTGCATTTTTCTCAAAGCCAAGAGGTGTGGAAAAATATTTCCAGCCGAGACTCTGAGTTCACCCCAGCAGGCAATTAAGCTTCAAACTTAAACCTAGACTTTCCTGAAGTGCCAGATTCCTGGCCTGTTTAGGGCTTTTCTACGTTAAGTACTTTTGCAGTTTGAAAAATAATGTATCCATCATTCATTTCACCTCTTGAGGAACACAGTGAGTACACAAAAATGGGTCATAAAGCCCACAGAATTATAACAGACATAAAAGAAGACTAAAGGCAGAATTCCAGGGAATAGGTTGGGAAGGGCTTTGAGGGGTCATGTAGCCCTCCCAAGGCAGAACCAAACGTGCCGGTATCTTTCTTGGCCGTGCTCCCGTAAGAAGGATTCTCTGTTTGCTAGAGCTACACTGGACTAAGTGGGACCTGAGCTCAAGCGTGGCAATGGGCTATTTTGCAGCTTGGGGGGGGCAGGGGCTGCCAGTTACCCAACTCAGACCAGAAGACAGGTTCACTCGGACGAACCCTGTGTTAATACAGCAGCCTGCCCTCCCAGAGGGTCACACAGCAAGTTTGGGCTTACTCGGAGCAGGCACAGTGATCTCTGCTGCTGCAGAAGCCCTTCCAGACATGCCTGACATTGCCAATAGGGCTGGCAGGAGCTCACATGGAGCTGAGCTGACAAAATGTGCTCAGAAGGTGGAGTCCTTCCCCTCCAAGCCACCAAAAGATGCTATCGCTGCATCCTCACAGCAGCCCCAAGGCTCCAGCCTTTGTTCAGGTCTCCACAGCCACAACAAGAACTTTTCTGTAAAGATCTGGTGAGGATGCTCGACAGACACAGCGTTCTTGGACAAGGATGGCCCATGCAGTGAGCACAGCTTACCATTCCCTGGGTAACCTCTGTTTGGAGAAGTCATTTATTCTTCATGGTCCTTCCTCTAACCATCGCATTAATCCCCAGCAGTTACGAGGACACTGTCCTATGGGATCACTCCTGTGGTTTTTGCTGCTTGCTTTGTCTCTAATTCCAACATAGCTGGGTCAGTATTTTAAAGTTATGAGGAGGACTAGGTCATGATCCTGAGCAAAGTTATTCATCCCTGTCTTCTGAAGCCAGAGGCTTGGCCAGTGTTGCTGTTGCACTGTGTGAGCAATGCTGTGTCCAATGCACCTCCCCATGGGGCAGCCTGGGTCTCCTTTTCTGCCCTGTCGCCGCTTCTCTTTGTGGGTACGGCTCCCTTCCCCCTGGAACCCCAGCTGTGTGCTCACCAGCTCCTTGCATGCCCACCTTGCTCTGCGTGGCGTGAGGTGTCTCTTGCCAGAGGCACCCTGGCCCAAATACTGCTTGGGTGTTCCTGCCCCTGGAGGGCTTGCTCAGCCCTGGCAGGAGGATGTGTGATCCCCAGGGGTGACCTTCGGGAGCACCGCAGATGGGAAGGGAAGCACCAGCCCTGTGGATATGAGCCAAGGGATGAATTAGCTCCATCCTCTTCACTCGGGATGCTGCTCTAGCAGAATACAGGCGAGAAAAAAAGCACACAGCTAATGCTGTTAGGTGAAAGAACGTCCCCGCTATGTCCAAACCACCCGGTCAGCCTTGCCCTCTGCATCTTCTTTTGGGGGGTGTGAATCTGGGGAGTGGCTCAGGACAAGTGGTGGGAGGCAAGGCAGAAGGTTCCCCAACAGGCTGAGGGGGTCAGCCCTGGACAGAAGGGAAGGAGCCCCCTTGCAGCGAGCCAGCCGTGTACCACCAGCCCCTTTCCTGGGCTCAGGGATGGATGTGCTAAGAATCAGAGCAAAGAGGGTTGTGTGTGATGTGCCAGCAACGCGTTTGTTGTCTAATTTAGTGATTTTTTCCTTATTTAGCAAAAAAGCAAGGCTGTCGTGAAGAAGGTCTGGTACAGCACTGCTAGTGGTGATGACAACTTTTTCTGTAGAGAGCAGAGGACATGCAAGGACAAATAGCTGGGAGACCTCTGGGATGTGCTGTTTGCAGGGCTCTTTTACCTGTGTAACTTAGTTACTTGATTGGGAATCCCATAAGCCACAAAGACATTTCTATCTCAGTAACGCAATTTGTGTTGATTTTGCTAGTCAATAAGAAATATCAGACTCTATAGTTAAAAAGATTTGAAGGCTTAGATTAGATTTTCCTTTAGATTGATATCTAGGATAATTTGCAGTAGTGAAAACAGAAAAGGTTCCCATCCCCTTCTGTCTCTGCCTGGGTAAGGAGCAGCAAGTTCGTACGGAGTTGCATGAGGCAGAACTCTTTGCTGTCAGCTCTCTGCTCTCAGTTGCTGCGTTCTCAGGCTGCTGCAGCCACTTGGGGGCTGGTGTCACCCCAGTAACTGAATTGTGCACATTTATAAGCAAAGTCATATAAGGTAATTTAGAAAGATTGTACACACCTTAGAATCAAAGGCTGTGAATTAAATTAATTACTAGCCACGAGTTAAACAAAGCCTAAAATTAGCCCCAGGGTAATGTAAGGTAACCTGCAAACTCAGAGGGATATGTTTTAGGCTTCCTTTACTAAGCCAGCCTAGTGTTTCAGTAATGAACATATTGGCAGATGATTATTTTTTTTCTGTTCTCCAGCTGGATAGCTGTTCTTGCTAATAAGCAGTGCCCTGCTTCAGGAAAGCCCTCTCTGCCAGGGAAGCTCTTAAGCATATGCGTAATTTTAGGCATGCACAGGATCCCCACTGAAGCTGAGCGCATGCTTACAGCTCAGGGTGTGCTTAAGAGCCTCCCTAAACGAGGGCTTTGATGTACAACTTAGAGGAAAGAATATATGCTGCTCAGTAGTCAAAGCAATCCAATTTACATAAATATTTATTTGTTTTCCGTTATATATCATTTTTATGCAGGTGCTTGTGGGATGGATAGACGTCAGAACACATACATTATGGAAAAAAGCTTCAAAGGTATGGTATCCAGTGCCTGCAGTCACCCTGGCAAAGAGTGTGAGGAGGGTGTCGTAGAAGAGGTGAGATAGGAGACCTGAGCACCCGGGAGAGTGGCCATGCAGAGACAGAAAGGGACAGAGCAATTACCTCCAACACACGCCTGCGTGGCTCAGCCGGCAGCACTCCTGACTCCGAGCCAGATGTCTGGGGCCCATGAATTATGGATGCAAGGCTTTACGAGGCCGTAGGCTCCTGCCTCGGCCAAGCAGCGCAAGACAAAAAGGGAGGGCTTTGCTGCAGGGACAGGAGGTGCAGCTGGAGCTGCCTGGCCAGGGGAAGCTCTTTTAGGCCCTATCAGCCATCCTATAAGGGCTTTCTGGCAGCAGTTGCTTACAACAGACTGGTGTGTTTTGCCTGCTAAGTAACAGCCCCGTAAGGCTCTCAGCTATCCTGAGCTTAAACAAAGCCACTAGAAAATAAGCTGACCCTGCTATGTGGCCTTCACTGAAAGAGATTTATAGCAGAGCTTGAGAAAAGACCTCACTCAGTACATTAACCAGTCACGCTGGCACAAAGCAATTAATGGGCATTGACTCTAGGGCAGTTCTAAAAAGGGATCGTAGATGAGTCATGAGCTCAAGGCCCAGTGATTTTAGATTCCAGTTGTCCACCAGGTTTACCCTGAAAATATCCCAGTTATGTATGGGCAACACAGCTGCTTGGCACAGTGGTCCCCACAAGTTCCAGATTGACTGGGCTGGGGTTTGGCACACTGACCTCGTGGTCCAGAAGATGGAGCAAGGACTCCATCTCATTCAGAATAGGTGGATTTCAGTCTGAGGTCCGTGGTCGGAGTTCAAGGCTGTTGTGGCTGCAACACATCAGCTGGGAATGTCCTTCCATCAGCCGAGGAGGTAAATGCTGCACAGCCTCTTTCCGTAATGTCCTTGAGCTGGTTTCGGCTGAGTAATGGGGAAAGTGGTACATTCACACAGAGCTGGTTTCAAGACACTCACTGGTGTGCTGTGGCCAAGGTGGTGTAGAGCAAGACCTTGATCTGAACTAACATGGCATAGTGAAAGCTGGGCCACCTGAAAAGCAACGACCAGTTTATAGCCAGGCCTAGAGAACACTAATCACTTCCTAGCTACAGTTTACAAAATAAAGTGCTATAATATTTACTTACTGCATAGAATCACTGAAGGAAACCAATAACCCGTGACCAAGTCTTTCTCAATAGGTTTAAAATGTTAGAAGGGTTATGTATGTATATTTGACTTAATCCACTGGTTTCAACTACTTCAATGATTCCCTTTTTCACCAAAAAAAAATCTTACTATAGTAGTTAGTTGTTCTTTCTACTTGGAGCTATTAATTTCAAGATTAAACTAAATTACTGTCTTTACAAGGTTAAAAAGCTGCTTTAAACACACACAGAGTAGGAATTCCCATCCATAGACACAGTCACACCGGGAGTGGGGTACCAGTGTGAACGAGAAAGAAGGAATTACAGTGAACTGTGAAATGTATTTTCTGCTGCTACATATTTTGTTTATTATTTAGGATCTGAGCCATTTTCTTTACATGCTTGTCTCCTTATAAATTGAAAAAAACAGGCGTAGAAGCCATGTCAGGAGAGGTGATGTGTTCTTTGTGGCTGCTCAGCTGCTGCAGACAGGCACGGCTGGCACTGGCAAGGGCAAGGTGCCGGGGACACAGGAACACACCTGACTTCCCTTGAACATACAAGTAGTGAGCAGCTGAGATTTTTCAGGAGCATCCGATGCCTTTGGATGGCTAAAGGTTTCCGACAGTCCAGTCTGAAGGCCAGTTTCTGGGTTCAGGCAGCTGCAGGGCTCGCTGTCCTGGATGAGTTCCCTGCCAGAAGGAGCTGGGTGACGTGCCCAATGCTCAGTGCGCAGCTCTCCTCGCCCCGCCGGGTCTTCCCTTGGCCCTGCCGAGCCACATTCATCTGAAAGTTGGAGAGGAAGCTTCTGCTAAGCTGGGTTGTTCAGATAAAAGAAACTCCCAGTCCCAAACAATTGGATTATGTCAGCAAAAGGACTTGGCAGGCGGGTGCTTTGTGATTATATACCTTTATGCACTTTAAAGATGATGTCTTTTCCCATCGGTATCTCTTGGGTCTAACTGGAGAAAGCCTGCCCTGCAGCTGAAAATCATGTTTGGTGCTCCTGGCCCCAGCCCAGAGCATCGCATGGGATGCACTGCTGGGAGGTGGCACGGGGTTCCCGTGGCTCGAGGCTGAGTTCAGGCTGTGGTGGACCCGGTCTGCCACCAGTTTCCTCCAGTTCTCCTCCTGGGAGACCAGGGCCCCCAGCTCCGCAGCCCCTGCGCCGCACTGGCCTGGCTGGAGGCCGGCCCCAGAGCAGGGCAGCCAGGAGAGGGAAGTCCCTTTTGCAACCTGCCACTAGAAATGCGGTGGCCGTGCTGCTGGGGGAGGCCCGGGGGGCTCAGGCACGGCCAGTTTGTGCCTGCCAGGGTCACCCACAGACAAGCCCAGCTCACACTGCAGCTCCTGGTGCTGGCGAAGCAGCAGGAACCCTTCGGGGCAGCCCCAAGCCCCATGGCACGTGGTGACGGTGGTTGACCAGTCATGAGCTTTTCAGTGCAGTTTCTTTCCTACAAATGATGTTCAGTGGTACTATTTCCAAGCTTTTATTTGCAGCTGAGTCCTTTTCTATTTTTTAAGTTTGGGTTTTTTTTTTTAATGAATGGTGATGCGCTGGTGGAATAATGTGACCTCAGGCACTAATATTTTAAGGAAAAAAAATCCCTATGCTTTGCACGATACCCAGCAAAATCACATCAGTTAGAACCGTCAATGCCCTTACCTCAGGGACGTGGGGCTTGGTGCAGTGTGGTTCGGTTGTTTGTTGTACAGGAATGCGTCCCCACGACTGCGTCCCGCTCTGAAAAGCAGCAATAAGCGATCGCTGTGCTGCTGGCCTGGCAGCAGCGGGGGTTAGCCAGGTTACCGACAGCAGCCAGAGGCACGCTACACTGACCCTCAGCCATACATGTGATTAAGTAGCAGGAGAGCATATTTTACCTGTGTACATCACATTTCCTTAGCACCTCAAACACGGCAGCAGGTACCGAGGCTTGTCATTAGTATGCCAGAGGATATTGAGGGCAAAAGAGAGGAACCTGGTCTGTGGGAGGGACAAGTACATTTCCAGTCCCTGGTAACAAAAATAAAACCTCCTTCAAAGGTCTGGTGACTGGTATCCAGGCAACACAGAAGACAGGGACTTCAAAAGTAGAGCATATCCCCCGTATTTCTCTAGCGTGTCTGGCTGATCAAGTGGTGACAGCGAGTACCAGCGCTGCTGGTGGCAGTGCCACGGCTTGGGCTGAGCTTTGCACCTCCACAAGAGTCGACCCCGTGGGTACACGGAGGATGATGAGGAGGCATCACCAGGGCTGACACGTGGCCTGTGGAGTGAACGGGCTGAGAATGTCTTAATACATTTGTTCTGGGTTAAATTAATTAATGAAATTTGACAATTGATGCCAGACTCTTTAATTATCCCCAAATTACCTAATAACAAAGTAACTCAGATGCTTCCACATCCTTTAGAGTTAAATTCTCTGCGATCTTGCGCATAATGTGTCTTGTGGGCTAATGACTCCCTGGTGTATAGCACGTTACCGAACATACGCTGGTGCTCCATAAATTATATCGTATCCCGAGTGAAGGGTCTAATCCCTAGCTAGACGCAGTGTTCCCATTTTACGTCAGCGGGAATCGGCTCTTAGGCATGCTCTTCCTCAATATCTTGTGGGAAAAGGCAACTCCTGGGAGAGGCTAAATGAGCCTGGGCAGCCCAAGTGGTCTTTTGCTGGTCTTCCCTGGGATGGGAAGGGCTGGTGCCGCGGCTACAGCCTGCGGGACGCCTGCCTGGTGGGTAGCGGCAGCGCTAGCAGCAGCACAGCTGAAGGTTAGCTTAGCAAGATAAAAGGAGCTGAGCTGGGCTTAAGAAAATAGACGATGTGCTGGGATTTTTTGCCTACGCCAGCTCTGATGTGCCCACTTCCATGAACAAGCCAGCACTGACCCCCACAGCTGCGGGCTGCAGCACGGCGGGAGCAGGACTCCTCACTCTGCCCCCTTTGTCGCTGTAGCAGCCAGCGCTCTTTTATAACCCACGTTTTATGAATTTAAACCCAGCTCTGGTTTGATTTGGTTTGGAGCGCTCTGCAGCGGATCTCAGGGCGCCGGCAGCCTGATGTTTGCACATGGAGCTCGTCCTCACAGGGCCCAAAAGCTGCCTGCACCTATTCCCGCTGCCCCCTTCTGAGAGCATCTGCTCAGCCGGACGGCATGAGGCAGAGAAGCAAGTTTGCAATGGTCTCCCTGTCCTCTCACCCCAAATTTTAGTGCTGGCCTATTAAAAGCTGCCCAGGCTCCCCTAATGAGCGCTACGTACTTGCTGTAGCCACCAGAAGCTGTGACCTGCTGGCTGGTGGAACTGAGCCCTTCTCTGGCTGAAAATGAAGTAAAAGCCCGAGGGCTGAGGCCGCCCTCCTCATGGGGGCCGTGTCCCCACGGCAGTGCGTGCTCCCACGCCCGGCTCCAGCGCTGCCAGGAGCTTTCAGCTCCCTGCCCACACGGGACAGTTCGCCCACGCACACCCGTCCCAGTGACTGAAGAACAGGGCCCAGTCCGGGCAGCACAGGTATTTTCAGCCTAAAGATTTTCATTTTATTACAGGATTTGTTAGTCTTTGGCTATTGCCTCTTCACCTTTAAACACTAACGGATCCTAGACAGCGTGGCACCTTGATTTAAGTCATGTACCTAGCAAAAACTAGTAACATCGAGCTCACTCATGTACAAAAGCCTTTGGTCTTGCAGGTTGCTCCATTGCTCATTAAAAGGACAGGACAGGGCAGCTTTTCCCCGACTTGCCTGTGCCAGGATGGGGTTGGTAAAGCTGGAGGGCCAAACCCTGCTGCCAGCAGCTGGGGAATATTCGTGTGGCTTTGGTTCCTGTCTCCTGTGATGTACCAAACCAGACATGTCTCAACTTCGCAGTAAATGCATCGTTAATCTCACCCAGGCTGAAGTCAGATGAGGAGTTTCTTAATTTTATTACTAAAGCAGCATTGCACTGGTGCCAGGGCCTCTGCCAGCCCTCGCCTCGCTGAGGGTCCCAGCACGGGCCAGCGGGTTTGCTTTGCAGCGGCGCGTCCTCACCAAGCTGGTTTCACTGACCCCGAGAGCCCAGGCCGCTCCAGATTTGCTCCGTTTGCCCTGAAACTGGAGCACACCCGTGCGGTCGCTTGCTGCGGTCCTCAGGGCAGGACCTGACACCTTGCTGGGGACACCCGCTGGGTGCTGTCCCCCAGGTGAGGGGCTGATGGGCGCACACACGCAGACACAAGCCCAGGGCTGGCGGAGGGAGCCTTGCAGCATGGAGCGGAGCAGACCTGACAAGCGCGTTAGCAGGATGGGGCGGATAGGCACAGAGCCGAGGTTTGTAAAGGAGAAGCGATATCTTGTTGTCTGTCTATTTCTTAACCTGAATTTCTCTTTTTGTCTCCCATACTAGATAGCGGGGGCAGCTGGGATTGCAGCTATTTTGCAAGTCCCGCTATTTCACCGGGAGTATTTCATATATACCAGGATCTGCCTTTGTACTGTAACCCAGCACAAGAAAATGCCTCATCTTTCATTGCATCGCTCTAATTCTAAATTAATGGCACTGCCCAGCAGGATGCACACAGCAGCAATGGCACGTTCTTGAATGTCAATGTTAAGACCTATTTATTCTCTATTTTTTATTTATTTATTTATTTTTAAAGCAAGACTGGCACTGTACCTTGCAGCAGGCTGGCATACTCCAGCCAGGGTCACCAACCAATGGTTACAGCTCTCACACCAACCTTGTTCTACCCATGTATCACGTCCTCTGTCACCATCTCCTGTTGTATCCAGCCTAGGGGAGAGGAGCAGATGGCTACAGCAATGGGGGGGGAGGGGAACCAAACAAACCAAACCCCAAAGCAAAAGCGAGGCTCAGATGGAGGCTCCCCCTGTGGACACCAAAGTATTCGCCACTAGCAGAAGCAGCCTCCTCCCAGTCTTAATGGCAGTGGGAATACGAAGTCGGCTGCTTCTGGTCCTGGAAAGCCCCAGAAACTGGAGCTCTCAGGGGGACATAGGCACATACGCTGCACTGGTGCAGTTCTATGCCTCCTGGAAATGTTTTGCTTTCAAATATGGCATTTGATGTTGACCAAAGCCCCTGAGACACTCGCCCTGCAACTGGCCCAGCAGGCCAAGTACCAGCAGAAGGTCCTGCCTGCCGAGCCGACTCGCCACGGACGCGTGCATGGGTCAGCAGGGCAGGTGGAGCGGGATTAAAAACGTAGCTCCTTAGGAATTAGGGGGAGGGAGGGAAAGGATTGCCACTTGAAATTAAATATTGCAGTAAATGACAACTAGAACCTTTTACAGGAAAACCTTCGGTACCGAGCAGGTTTTTTATTTCTTTCCTGCTAGTGAGTTGTGGATGCAATGATCTGGACACACCCAGAGCACAAGCGTCGGGTGTCTGTGCTGGATGCTTCAAGGATCTTCCTTACCCCCTGCCCCCTCCATCCCCCCACCCTTCCTGCAGAGGTTCAGTTGTAATTAACCTAAGCAAGCTAACGACGCTAACACGCCCACTCCGCTCTTGTTTTGCAGATTATATGAAAGAATCTGTGTGCAGCTCCAGCACTTGCTCGCTGAACAGCAGTGAAAACCCATACGCCACCATTAAAGACCCCCCCATTTTAACATGCAAACACTCCGAGAGCAGCTACGTGGAAATGAAATCGCCCGGTCACAGGGAGTCCCCATATTCAGAAATGCCAACTTCATCGACAGCCAACAAAAACATCTACGAAGTTGGTAGGTGGGGCGGGTGGCAGAAGGGCTATTCCAATATTCCAACAGTTGGTGTTTTCATTGTAGAGACTGATGGGTTTTTTTTCCTTTCCCGACATGAGCAGTGTGTGCAGGGAGGCGCTGGTGGGGGGGAGAAGGCCTGAGCGTCAGCGGGGCGATTTGGGGAGCTAAGTCTCGGGCGGGGGCCTGTGCTATGGTGGTGGATGTGAGCGTAGTACAGCACCGAATTGCTCCTCCAACCCCAGCCCAGGAGGGCTGCAGTTCTCTCTTCATGCTCTCACTTCAAACTGCTGCCAAGCCCAGCTGCAAGGTTTCGAAAGTGCAGGCTGGTTGGTCTTTTGAAGACCTCATCCACAGGGCTTTGGGAACTACCTGCCCTTGGATCTGCGTGATGTTTTCCTCCCAGGTCTGCCCCATGCCCTGCCAGTAATGGGAAGAAATGGTTTGGGAAGCTGATGTTCCGTGTTTGTGACAAAATACATGCGTAACTACTTTGGGGAACGCTGCTCATTACTGTAACCGTTTTCCTTGCTTCCCCAGAGCCCACTGTCAGCGTGGTCCAAGACGCCCGCGGTCGGAGTGCCAGTTACCTCCAAAATCCATACGACCTGCCTAGGAACAGTCACATTCCTAGTCACTACGACCTCCTCCCCGTAAGGCACAGTCCGACACACGGGCCATCTTGGGACAAGCAGTCTTAAAAGGATGAACTTCACTGGTGCGCTGTGCTGCAAACACAAAACTTTGAGGAAGCAAAAGAGAAGACAATCCTTTTCTGTGCTGCAGGATGCTGACGGGATGTCAGACTCTCTTACGCAAGGACCTAACGTAACACAACATCAGCTTGGGCCAACTGCTGTTGCATGATGTTATTTATAAAGACATTTTTATATGGGTAACAGGAACTAACGAGAACCTCCTCCACGCGTGACTGGAGTACGTCACCCCAGGCACAAACTCTCCGTGGCGTGTATTCTAACCCTGGCTTTGTTGTAAAATAAAACACAAAAACGTGCTAAGTAGAAGGACTTACAGCTGTACATTTCTACCCACTGCATCAAGAAACCTTTTACTGTTAGGAACAAGGTGACTAGGAATACGCTGGAATATATTTTACAGCTTTGTCATGGAAACAGACGTTTTTCTGAACGGAAGCAGGGAAACTTGTCATTTCACTGTCTGGAAACCTCATTTACTGCCATCACCATGTGCAACCTTTCCAGATCATGCTTGGTCATTAGCGCTGAGATGTGCACCTTCATGTTCAGTACCAGGGTACGTGAGTAGAGGAATATTAACACAGACAAAGTCCGTGCCGGTTTTAAGATGTAACGTCTTGGCCAACGTCTGCTGATCTTTGCTAACGACTTGCGTTTCACCAAGAGCCTCACGCCCAGCTTACCACGCTTTTAACAAGCTATAAAATACTTTGATTGGCACAGGTAGGCTTTAGCTTTCCTTACAGAGTTCTGTTTTGTTAGATAAACCCAGCAGCTTCGTCAGGCAGTGTAAGTCACGGACCTTCACTCACTTCCCTGGGACGCTGCGGGTCTGCACAGACGCACCCTGGTTTGGGTCCTTTCCTAAAGCTGAGACACATCGGCTTCTCTAGACCATCTTTACAAACCATCCCATCATGATTCACTTAACAGCATGCCATTTACAACACCCTTTAATTTGATGTGCATTACCATGTAGTGCAACTTTATCCATTGATGATTCTACCTGAAATGTTATTAAATTGAGCTGAACCCGGGTTTTCTTTTCCAGCAGCTGTTTGTGAAGTAATTATCAAGGGGTTGGCCCATGGTAAAGCTTTGGACTAAGCCACCGTGATGACTTTTTTTTTTTTTTGGTAATCTTTATTGACCTAGAAAGTAGAATACTTGCCGTTAAGCAGTTCCTTGTAGATTTTGAGCATGAAATAGTATTGATTCTAAGTATGTAATTTCATTAGGCAAACGTGGAAGTAGCAAGTTGATTGCCTCTTAAATATATAAAAAAAAATTCTGTTGCACATTCTGACAGAAGCAGAAGAGAATGAAACCAGCACCAATCAGTTGCTCAAAGCACGATCGCTCGCGTAACCTGCTGGTCTGGGGACTGGTAAGAGGAGCCTTCCAGCTCGGAGGCAGCGGCTTGATCCCGGCTCCGAGTCAGAGCAGGCGTTGGATCACTTGGAGCACCCTGTCAGGGCCCAGCCCCTGTCCCCGCAGATGGGCTCAGCCCCTGGCACAGTGATAGCAAACCGCTGGCAGCCGGCACAGCAGCCCTGGGCTCGCTGCGGCAACACGCTCACGTCAGGGTCAGGACGGGGGGCGCCCCAGCGATGGGCTGCTGGAGGATCCAGGACCCCGCCGGGAGGTGGGGTTGGCTCTGAACCCCTCTGTGCAAACCAAGAGTTTTGCAGCGAGAGCGCCGAGCTGAGCCCAGTGATGCCCCAGGCTTCCAGAGCAGCAGATTGTCACGGTGCAGGATGACGCAGAAGTAGTTACATGAATGCTGCATGCGCGCATGGGGGCAATGACTGATCAGCAATAGTAATTTTATGTTCCAGGAAAGCCTTATTTGAGATGTAAGCAGACAACTATTTTGTAGGGCCAGTAGGAATATATTTTATGTACATGAATAGGAAGACTTACCTCAAAAATATCAAGAGAAAGGCAGTTGGGTAAGGAATACTCGTTAGAGACCTACCTTGACACCTAGCACAAGCAGTCTCAGCTGCCAGCCTGACCGATGTCTGTGTCTGCATTGCTGTAAAGTTTGCAATGAGACTCCCACGAGCAGAGATGTGCTCAGGTTTTGGGTTTGCGTGTTTGTTTTTTTTTCCCCAAAGCTGGATTTTTCAAACCAAATGCAACAATGTGCATAGAGCTTAACAGGAAAAACAACAAACAAAACCAACGAAAAAAGTACCTTCTCGTATATTAGCATTAGCTTAGGAAATAGGCACCGAAATGGCAATACTTTTTTAAGGCAAGACAGATTTGTAATATATTTGTTGACTGTGCAAAGGTATTCTACCTTGTACAAAATAAATTGAATTTCTCTCATTGTGTATTTCTCAAATGCACTCATTTACAGACCAAAACTTCCAGCCCGTGTTCAGGTCTGAGCTCACCAGGCGATGGAGCTGGTCACGAAGGGGCTGCCCACCTCAACAAAAAAACCCCACAGGCGTCAGGCTTACAAGCCAGAAGGCAGTTTCTGTTGCAGGATTTCTCAGAAAACACAACACTAATTCAGACTGTAATTTGGAGCTAACTTAAAGTAAGGCCCAGCTTTAGAACAAAATGTAACCGGCTCTGTGCATGCCTTACAACTCCTCCGGCAGCTCTCGTTCCCCAGCAGTTTTACCTTCGCCGGTCTGAGTGAGACCCCAGTGATGCACAAACCGAGGGGGACACGCTCGTGCACCTGCAGAGAGCAACCTGGGGCGAGTGCCAACACCAGGTCTCCCTCCAATTTTCACACGCTGCATTTCAGGGCATGTTGTGAGAGTGCTCGGTGACACCAGCGGGTCGTTGTGCCTTCGGGTGGGCACTGGAGGACACAGGCTGCACCCAGCAGCGAGGAGTCCGGGCAGACAGCAGCCATCCCGACAGGTTTGGCAGCGCTCCCAGGGAGCCTCAGCAATAAATCCCGAGTGCAGATTTGCAGCAGAAACACCTTCAGAATTAATGACTCCGAGGCAACGCAGCGGACTGCTACACGTTGAAGCTTTTTCAATATTTGTGCTTCATATTTCTAAAAATCTTGTTAACTGAAGCCCAGCATGTAATCTTCTTATTTCACAAGCCACACTCAATAAGCTATTTGAGTCTGGAAATTCATCAGGTTTGAACTGATAGAACAAGTTAATTCTAGCTTAATAAAAATGTCTTTAAATCAGAATAATGCCATGTCCTTTCTGCTTAAGAGTCAGAACTTCAACTCCCATCAAACACAAGAACCACTGATGCTCGCTTAACAGCTCTGTAATTGTTAAGGTTGGGACTTTCAAATATGTAACTGATAGCAAAGGCTTTTGGCAAGTAAAGCCAATTTCACAGCATTGTACAGAGTTCCCAGAAACTCAGAAAGCTCATTTCAGGGCCCAAAAGCAGTATCTGTTATAATCAGCTGTCTCCTATTAGCAGAGGAGAGCTGTTTCAGTCCAGAAGCAATGCCAGCTACAGAAGAGAATGATTCATCAGCAGCTGAGCGGGAACAACGCCCCACCGGGCCAGCGTTCAGGCGGCATCATATCTTGCATCGTCTCTCCAAAAGCACTTTGTGAAGTACCTGCTTGTCCCAGGAGCGTCACCCAGCCTGGGCCACCAGGACCCCCTGCCACAGAAGACATAGAATGTGAGGGAAAGGCAAGAAGTTACATCTCTGTACCTGCACCCTTCGATTTTGCTGTAGAAGTCGATAGCTTATGAAGGCTTTACAAACTATTGCATGGAAATTTTATGCTCCACATTGCAGCAGTTCATAAGTACAAAATCAGGTTTTGCACAGCATTTCTAAGGCCTGTTTTATGGTTATTGAAGTTCTGGTGGGGAAAAAAAATAAAAATCAGAATTCTTACTTTGTCCGACAGCACACGCAGCCATTTCACAGCTGCTCAGGACTGAAACACATCACTGGTTGCTGCAAGGCGGAGGCAGAAGCACGTGCACACACGCAAATGCTACGTGGGGCTGGGGTGGCCTCAGCCTCTGACAGCAATCTGTGCTCCGACAGGCTCCGGTGTGTTCGCATTCACTGCAGGAAACTGCATAAACCCATGCGAAATCCAAAGGTGACGTGACAGCTGAGTCGAGCCGCCTGCTTACATGAGTCAGAAAAGGAAGCAAAGTGAAACTCGTCCTGCATTTCCAGTTGACAAATTCAGAACTTGGCTGCCCCAGTAATTTGGTTAAATCCAAAATATGCTCCAGTCTGGCCAGAGGACGCACTGTGAGAACGGTTCCCACAGCAAGCAAGGGCCTGGTCTTACTCCTCATCCTCACTCTCCCACAGTGCTAAAAGGCCCTAAATTGCCTCTGTCCCCAGAGCCACCGGCGCTGCCCCAGCCGCTCTGTGGGTGGCTGCTGCCTGCAGCCAGGAGGCTGCCAGGGACACTAGGCACAACGCTCACCAGCAATCCGGCTCCTGCGCACCACTTCTTCAGGACATCAAAGTGGGATCCAAAAGCTTAAATCATGTGGTGCAGAAGGCAGAGGTTTGCTGTCCCACAGGATTTTCCTACTGGTAATGTGAGGGAAAAAACAAACAACCACAAAACAGGTTTGTAAAAGCCGTTCAGAGGTCTGACTAGAGCAAACCCAGACCTTTCAGAGCATAAAAGCCTCCCAAAGCTGCAAAACTGTCATGGACTATGAACTGCAGCAGGCTCAAAAAGCTGCAGGCCTGGCCTGAGTGAAGGAGGCAAGGGTGTTGCACAACCCTTTCGGTTCCTTTTCTGGGGGTACTTCCACTTCAGCGTCTTCTCACAGCCTGTTCCAAGAAGCCTGCAAGCTTCCAGGAAGTAAAAAAATCCCAGTTCTCCCAAAAAGTGCACCCAACACCATAATGAGTCGTCCCCTGTAATTCTTTATTAGAATCATGGATGAATATATTTTAAATCAATCTAAAAAAATAATGAATCAAGGTACAGTACATGCATAAAATACAAAGTAATTTACAAACAGATCAAAATAGCATCTTCAGAAGTGATACTAGGAGGAGAAATGGATTTAAAAAAAAAAAAAGTGACCGACTACAGCAATGCCTTCCGTGTGCCTTACACATCATGAGCACCGCAAGACAGAAAGGTTGGGTACGAAACGCAGCTGGTAGTGCCTACCCAGATTTGGATGTTCCAAGTGGGTCGTATCAGAGTTTGAGAAACGTCCCCTGCAATCAGCTACTTCCCTGTAATTGTATAGATAACTGCAGGCATTTATACAACAAACAGTTCTTTTGAATACCGTAGAAATTCAGTGCCTATAGCCCCCAAATCTCCAGCTTAATGACGTGTTTGGGAATCGTACACACCGAGTGATACGCAGTGGTTTCAGAGTGCAGTGACAGAAGGCACAGTTCATGTTTCCCTGAACAAGCTACTAGACCGGATGATTTGGACGGAGCGACAGACCACAGGAGGAAGGCATCCAAGTAAGAAAACTACTCCAGATGGCTTTGTTCTAGAACATATACCAAACCACTGGAATAATTTAAAAACACCAGATGAAACAGAACTGAAAACTAAGGCCAGGTTGTGGAAGTTGATGATCCATCAATTCAAGCATTTGAATGTATTAATATAGGTGGTGTGTATTAATAAATGTGATGGGTAATATGTGCCAACCCCCTTCAAGTCTGTGTGCCATGAAAGAAAAATAGGCATCCTCAAATCCTGATACCACCGGCACCGTGGAGGCCAAGCCTCGGGCAGCACAACGATGTGCTGCAGGTTCCAATGTGAGAGTGAGCCTGCGCCAGTTACACTGCTCACACGTCTGTGTTCTTCGCAAGAGGCACCTCGAGCGGAGCCCCGCCGGCGTCCCCCCGGCCAGCCGCCCAGCAGCCCTGCCTCACGTCACAACCTCCTGTGCAGCAGGTGCCGCACCGCAAAAGCTCATTCACAGGTAGCAAGAACCCTGCTGCTTGCTTGCAAGAAATTCTCTTTTCTCCCCCATAATATTCTATTAAAAAAAAAAAAAATCCTCAACATGACAATCTGAAGATGTAGCCATAAACATTAACTTACATTAAAATTGCACTTCAGAGTAACGGGCATTTCATCAAGCTTTAGATGCAGTATACAAAACCGTAAGACAAGGAAAGATTATCCTGCCCAGAGATACTTTTCTAGTTAACCTAATTGTTTGGCGAGGAGCAGAACGACGTCTTCAAGGGCTCACTAAAGGTGTCTGCGCTCTGACTAGCGGGCATCCTGTTGGAAAGAGACCAGATCAGTTCCAAACAATTTACTGAACCAAAACCGACAAGTCGGTGTTGGGAAAATACTGCAGCCACACAGAAGCAATAGATTTATAACCACTGAAATCAAAGTGTTTAAGACATGGAGAAAGTCAGGAGTAAGCAGTAACTAAACACAAGAAAGTAACCACAAGAATTACAAATATATTTAAATCTTGGACCTGGGGAATATACACAGCCTTTTAGGAAAGAATGAAACAGCTCTATATATTCTGACAGCACTGCATCTTTGGTTTGTTTTCAGTGGTTGGAGGGACGTGAATGGGAACCACGTTGTTGCTTGGAGACATATCGTTTTCACGTCTGTCGGACATTTGCTTCTGGGAAACAATACGGTAGATCTCTGGAAGACGAGAAAGAGCTAGTCATTACGCTGACACCAGCAACACACCATCAGAAATGAAAGTCTGGGCGAAACCAGGCATAAAATGTATAAGTTTTTCCCACAGATTTGGAAATACCGAGGTAATGTGCAGAAGGGTTCATAAGAAGTTCAACTGTGATGCTTTCTATATTCAGAAAATAAAATATTTATATTTTTGCATAAGAAACTGCTTTTTTTAACCGACTGTTCTACTCCCTTTGAGATAGGGGTTAGTAAATGGACAGAATGCACCGATTTTTTTTCCTAGGAACCAGAAACTATGTACCCCATCAATTCCTTCTGCTGGTTCCTAAGGCTCTGGGGACAGCAGTTGCATCTTTGCTGACGTATCCTCAAACAACAACAGGATTAAAAAGAACCACTCAAAACTTCTCTCTCCGATAGGACTGCAAGGGCAATTTCTTCGCTCTCAGCATGCCATCACGTACAATACCTTGTCTATCAGCCACGCGGGTTTAGATCTTCAGAAAAGGTTGATTGGGGCCCAAAAGAAGAGACCTGGCCCCTTACGCAGAACACAAGCCCTTTACAAAAGTCACTGTGTTAGCGCAGCTAAGCTTCCACGCTACAAAGAAGAAATACAGTCTTAAACTTCTGCGCCTTTCCCAGCACGCTGCCAAGCAGGGAACGCCGCACACCTGCCCAAAAGCCTTGCCCAATTTCCTGGGATTTGTTAGGGGCCGATGGCACGTGCTGTACGTAAGCTCAGCGTAGCTACAAGAGCACTTACTTCGGCTGCGCAGAAGAAAGCATACGGCATGTGTAGCACTTCACCCCCAGAAAGGAAATAAAGGCCACCAGAAATAGCCCAGGGGGAACTCGCTTGCAAATTTGAGTTTTAAACCATTAAAGTTTTTTTTCTTTAAAAAAAAAAAAAAGCAGCTTGGTGAACCTCCATTTAACAAGAAGTTTGAAAGTGTTTCAGAATCAGTAAAAAGCCGACCCCAAAATGACAACAGCACATCTTCTACTGCGCACAACAGCCAAGCGCGCTGGCGACAGATACACCTGCACTGCCAAGCAGCGGAGCCCCCGCTCCGAGAGAAGGGAGTTGATGCCCACACCCAATTTGCACGCTCCAGCTCACTGCCCTCCGCAAGGGTTCAGGTAAGCCCGGGCTGCAGAAGGCGAGGGTGCCTGCACTTCGCTCCTCCTGCAGAGCAAAGGGGGGAAGAGCACAGCTCGCAAACAACTCTGGCGAAACAAAGCAAAGGTCCAAGTTCTTTTGGAGGTCTGAAGTCTCTTTGCAGCTGGATAATGACTGTCCAAACAGACACCTCGCCTGACCCCAAACCAAGACACGTCTTTTCCACCAGAAATTAGTCATTAGTGAGTACCCTTTGTTCAGAATTGTAATGAGCTGCTGCTTAGTGCACATCCTGACATCATTTCAGTACTGGAAATCGAGCAGCCTTGTGCAGAGAGGTCCTCTTCGCTGCCAAGGGCTGACCACACAGCTAAGCGCCTGCTTTTACGACAATGGGAGGAGATGGCACTGAGGAGCTCAAAAGGGTCCCTGACAAACAAGGCTTGCAGACCTTGCCCTTGGTGCAACAAGCCTGCACTGATTTAAGCTGCCAACCCAAACAGAGGCCAAGTGCTCCCTCCAGGAGGCATAAGAGCGGGGCTGCATGCACCCACGGGACAGCTGGCAAAATCAAAAACTCTCACGTAGATACTGCGCTGTATCTACGGACTGTACAAGGACATCAATCTTCGCAAGTGGCACTTTGAAAGAATCTGCCTGTTGGGCCTCCAAACTGACAGCTCAGACTCAGATAGGGATAAACTGTTGAGAAAAATGGATTTTACGTAGGCATTCAGTTACAGATCAGGTCACTGAGGCAACCAAACAAGAGCTGCACATGTAAAAGGATTTTCCGATTTCACCCTTTTGAGTTCACTCTTCTTCCCAACAGTCTTACACATAAACAACTTCCCAAGTTCAGTGAATCCCATGAAATCAGATCTTTAAAGCCACCTGCAACCCCACATGGGAATTCGCAGCTGAAGATCAGCCTCGCCCTGTGGCAGCGCCTGCTGCGGAGGTGGGAGATGCACAGCTGGAAGGGATTTCCTCTGCGTTCTTCAGGAGAAATTTTCTGCTCCAGTACCCCACCCCAGCTCAGAGGAGACAGCCAGTTTACCTCCAAGCACAGAATACTGCGCGTTCCTATTCAACAGGAGAAAGCTCTTGCACCTTCATTGCTGGAAACTCTTTAGTAGCACCTTTGGCAGCAGCAGTTCTCAGTTTTCCAAAGAATTTCCTGAACAAGTTCATGCTAGTCCCTAACACGAGCTGTCACACACTTCCTCCACCCACGTAAGCAAGGACTCGCAATACGGTGCCCTCTGTTACACCCTCATCTTACAGCAAAGGTCTTCAGTAAACCTCAAAGCCTTAAAAACGATCTAACAGTTCTGATTTCTCTGCTGATAAAAGGTCGATCCCTTCTGACTCTGGGAACACATTTTCATGATCCCCACTTCCACAGCCTCCCCAGCAATCCCACAAGGCCATTTAGCAGCTCTTCTGCTTGAATCAACTTGCAGCAGCCCCAGGTTTGTTGCTCGCTGCCACTTCTCCCTCCTCTGCAGCACAAACCCGTGTGCAGCCATGGCGTACAGCCCTAGGTGAAAGCCTAAATGGCTAAAACCTGCCTTTCCCTGCACGCTCCTGCACCACACACAGCTGCGCTGGTGCGGAAGGGGAGGAGGGGACAGCTTAAATCTGCTCTCACCGGGGCAAGATGCCCAGCAGTAAAACCCACACTGAAACTGGTCTGCACTGAGGAATGCCAGGCTAACGAAGACATGCGCTTTTTCATGAAGACACTACACTCTAGGCTCTGCTCAGTAACTGAATGAGACCTTATTAAGAGCACATTCAGCAGAAGGCATCACTGCATAATTGGTAACTGTGCGAGACAGGCCTTGCACTGTAAGAGTGCTGGGAAAAAGGGACACTGCTGCCTAGGAGGAGCTTGTCTGGCCCCTGTCTGCTCAGCCTGCGCTAGCATTTCATTCATTTTCAGGTATAGAGAGCTAAAAAGAGAAAGTCCACAGAAATTTTGACATTAATGCTCAGTGATGTTGTACCCTTCGAGCTGGGATTCCTTAGAGATGAAACCAACGGGAACAGAGACGGCACAGAGCCAGGCAGGGAACGGAGGCAGACTCCAGTTTACTTTAAGGATGCTCTATGCTGCTGTGAATCCTCAGAGTGGATAGGATTATAATACCAGTCTCTCCTATTTGCCAGATGATACAAAGCAGCTTTGTGCGCGCAACAATCAGCCCTTGAAGTCTAGACATCTTGCAACAGAAGAATTCAGACAGGGACCATTACTGTAAGCCACAGAAGGAGGAGGTTCCCAAAACCCCATCTGGTGTCCACAGCGGGACAGGAAGCCCACTAGATGAAAGATTTACTCCCCTCTAAAAGTTCTCTATAGTACAGGGAAAGGAAAGAAAAGCTTTCTCCGCCTTCTTCCACCTGTAACAACAGCAGATCACATACTCACTTAGGCTGTGCTAACTATAATGGATTCATATTTCCCATGCCCAGAGCCGTCTATTCAAAGTGGCTTTAATCTGAGAATCTAGGTGTGGAGAAGCTTAACACAGACCCTGCTACACCTCCGAGGGAAGTACTCTTACAAGTTTCTGACACTGTCCCAACCAGACCAGCTTCAGCGAGGGCTGGAGAAGAAAGGGGGTTTGCTACAGACCTTAGTCACACAACTCCCTGTTCACAGGGCTGCTTAGATCTCTCCTGAAAAGCATCAGGAGCAGCCTGGGATGTCTCTGCAGTGCAGTTCCCAGCACTGCAAATACTAGCAGAGCTGGTGCAGCAGCATGCCCTGCCCCTTCGTCTGTCAGCCACCTCCGCTCGCAGCCTGTGGCAAAGCCCGCTGGCTTTACCAGCTTCCTTCTTCAAAGGGCAGTGAGCATTCCACCCGCAGGCACTGTGCTTGGAGGCAGCCTTGCCAAATACACACCATCCATGATTCTGCAGGGTCACTCCGAAAACCACATTCCTCAGATGACTGCTCCCCTCTTTCCTTCAAAGCAAGTCATTAGCAGAAAAAGCCAGCTGTGAAGTGTTATCGAGAAGTTTATTGGCAGAACATTGGTCCTTAGCATGCCAGTCACAGCCGAGATGGAGTCAACCTGCTGCTAATGCATTATTTACTTCATCTTTATCTCCCCGAAACAGGAGCTCCTGTCTGGAGCGAGCCACATGCCCACTAATCAGCGTAAGTGTTGCTTCCAGCACAGTTGAACTAGTCCCTGCTGGACAAGGATCCTGCCCGCATACCCAAGAGCTCTTACCCAAAACATTGTCAGAGCAACACACAGGGAACATTGACATTTGTGGAAAAGCAACAGCCCCAACAATCTGTCAGAGTCCACCAAGGGCAAGTTTTAGTCGCTTGTTCTCCCATTACAGACTGCTCTCCCTTACAGAAAAATTAAACTGGAAAAAAAAAAAAAATCAAACCTCTGCGAATTAGAATCCAAAATAACTTCTGGAATAGAAGGTACCTTTGGAAGCATGTGGGGAGAGATAAAGAAACAGCCTAGCCTGTGCCCAAGAGGTGAACTGCTTCCCCATGGCAACGGCCGTGTATCGTCCCAGTGTCACGCAGCCCTGGGGAAGCAAGGCAGCAGCCCAGGGCGTGCCGCAAACTTTCTACTTCTTAAGCCCTCACTGTTAGAGAACAGAACAGTCCAAGAGGAGATGGGGGCAATTAGGCAACCAGTTTATATTGGCTACGACAGCCACCTTGGGAGGGGATATACAATGTCTGATATATTTCCAGTTCTGTTTTATTAGTGCTGAACAAGTATGAAAGTTAATTAATTCATCTGAGAGCGCTGATCCCCTCTGAAAACTGAAAGCGCACGCAGCAAGGCTGTTCTACATTACACACAGCACATTGGATCAGAATCTGACCTCCAAGTTCAGTGTAGGTGCTCCTGAGAAGAGAGGGGCTACCAAGAACACATGCATGAAGGAAGTTTCAGGTTTTAGCAGTTACAAGGAAGCAATAAAAAAAAATTAAAAAAAAAAAAGGGTCTTTCTCCTGAAAAATCCATACCCAAATTCACAAGCATTTCTGACAGGACTGCCTTTAGGTAGGTGGTGAAAACTGGAAATCCAGCAGGCATCCCAGATACCATGACATTCTGCCACTCCTTAGCCATCGCCCCTCCGATGGCATTAGTAGTCAGTCATGTAAGGGAGTAAATGTATAAGCTAACACAACTTCTCTTTTTTTTTTTTAATTGTGCAAGGTTGAATTACAACCAAATGACTATACTGAAGTTAAAAGGGAACCAACATGGTTCAGCTGAAGAGGAAACGAACTCAAGTTCTAGTCCCAGCACTGCATGAAAAAGCGAAATGACAAGCATCCCTATGCACTGTTTATTTATCCAACATGGACACACTTTTTTGCTAGTATATGGAAAGGAGCACTATTGCTTAGGAACCCACCGTTAAAAACACAACAGAACCAGAACCTATTGGAGGCCTCTTACAAATAAGGATAAGACAAGAAACAGATGAACACAGGCAGATAATACTCCAGCAGCCTAATCCCTCTCCACTGCTAGGGTGTTCACAAAGCATTTCAAACAACTCAAGAAAATGCTACAGAATTTATACTTTCATTACAGTAAATAACTTCCCAGCTGCGCCTCACCTGCATGTTCCAGTATGGCTAACAAGTCCTTTTTGGTGTTGTTTTTAAAAGAATGTCTAAAGTAGCTGGGAAAGAGGAAAAGAAAATTCAAAACTAACTAGATGCCAGTGTTGCAGCAATAAGATCTGATTAATCGAGACACACAATTTAGAAGTGAGACCACTGCTCATACCAAGCAGATCATGTAGCCTGGCACAAGCTACTCTGGGATGGAGGGAGTTTAAATTTGCAACTGGGAAATATGTTGGAGTCACCTGCAGAAAACAGAGGCACTCCCTGGTGCACTGGGAACAGAAAGACACACCAAAACGGAGGAGTCTCTCAGGTGATTTGAAGACCCAGGCTAGAGATTTGGAGAGGCATTTGCCAAAGCTGGGAACGACAAAAGCTCAAAACCCACACACACCACTGCTGCCCCACTATGCCCTGGCTGTAGCTGACGGGGTACACAGCAATACAAAAGTCCCAGCTGGTGATTTCCATGCCGATTTGTGAATTCCTACCCTTTATAAGCCATGGTTAAGGCAAGGTCTCCCATGTAGTTGTAAGTAGATTGTCTCAGCCTCTTAACAAGTTTTGCTTATCTAAAAAAGGGTTTAAACAAAAAGGAAGTACTTTTTCCCCAGAGCATAAAAAACACAGCACTCACTGCCATCACATGTTTCAGAGGCCAAAAGTCCAACCAGGACTATTAAATGCAATGACAGCAACTACCCCGCAGCTCCGGAGTCACTACATCTCATGCTACCAGTGTTGTTTAAAGGAAGGATCTCTACTCTTTCATCCCTTTTCCCTTGGCAACTGCTATGGTCACCATTAAAGATGGAAAAAAACTAGATTGACTTCTCCGCTGATAAACAGTTGCTGGTTTAACTTGACACTTGCATGAGACAATTTTCTCCTGTGGGCACTCCCTGTACACAAAGGGGAAACTGAAACATGAACTAGGCTGGCTAGAAACCTGGGGCAGATCAAAGTGAAAAAGGATTCATTCCCGAGTCCAAGGCTGGCCTTTCAACTGAGACTCTCTGAAACCAGACTCCAAATCTTACGCCTGTGAAGGATGATTAAATTGCAAAATTTTAAACACTTTATAGGCAAAGAAATGCCTATTTGTATCATATCGGAGCAGCCTTCTGCCCTTCCCCCTCGAAACACAAAGCACTTGATGACTCACCTGTCAGAATAGTCTGGAAAGCTGCTTCCACATTTGTAGAGTCTAAAGCAGACGTCTCAATAAATGACAAACCATTCTTCTCTGTGTGGACAGAAATACTATAATTAGAAGGGTACATCACATATCCGTTTCCCATCTGGAAGAACTTCTGTACCAGACTGTATTTGCGGTGTTCCTGATGAGACACCCGGGTATCAAGAAAAAGTATACGAAGTTGTGGGTTTTCCCCCCCCTTACGTGATCTGAAAGCAACACCACCCCACACCAACATTAGAATTTAGACTCATCCTCAAGCACAGGGATCGGTCCAGTGCTGTGTTACTTTGAGGCACACCTTCCTACGTCACTGAAAGTTAGAATTTGCTGCACTTTCAAGAATTGTGTGAGGATGTTCCCCGGATTTTCTTGAACCTCATCAAGTTTCTCCACCTCCCACCTGCTGGTATGACATCACAGCTTATTTAACAGGGCTAGCCCTACTGGTGGAATGACAGTCCTCCATCAGCAGACAGGGATCCTCACTGCCCATAAACTCTGCAAATGCAGCTACAGTAAGCCTTTATGTAAGAAACCCAGCTACATTCCCGGATGAAAGAAATTTGACCTAACACAAGGCAAGATCTACAGAAACTATTTACAGAAATTATTTTTCAGACATCTTAATTATGTAACAAGAGTCAGAAAGCCAGTTTAATGAAAGTCTGTTCAGCCACAGGCATCTGCACAGGGCTCCAGATCAGTTTGTACAAAGAAGGCAATATACAGGTGCAAAGCTACCACCGTACAAGAAACACAAACCTAAAGCCGTAGGGGCAGTTTCTGCAAGAAAAGCAATGCATAGGCAATAGAATAAATCTGGCTTAAAATCTTCCAAGCACCTCTGGCTGATTCTTGAAACCAAACCAGCATGCACGTTCTAGAAGGCTTCCTTTTTGACTGAATTAAAAAGAGGCAAACACCAGTATGTGACACTGAGGAACATCACCAGCAGCACTCTTTTTCCTCCTACCAGCCCACTCATCTATCTAAGACCAGGTAGGCAGACTCCCAGACAGTTAGCATTAGGAAATTGTTTTGAGTTCACCAACCTGCAAAAGCTCTGGCCTCATCCGTAGGGACTGCTCTCAGGTGGCGCAAGTCACTCTTGTTTCCCACCAGCATGATTACAATATTGCTGTCAGCATGGTCTCTCAGCTCTTTCAACCATCGCTCTACATTCTCGTAAGTAAGGTGCTTAGCAATGTCATACACCAATAATGCCCCTACAGCTCCGCGATAGTACCTGTGGGTGAAGAGATGCATTAGAGAACCAGCAAGAAACATCATGATTAAAAGTGACAAGTTACTGTGCAATAATGGGAAATAGCTATTACTAAGACAGCTGTACAAAAACATACCCTGAAGCAGGCTACGTGGGACGTGAAGCAGAGCATCCAGACTAGGGTTATATCACAGGACCACCAGAGCAGCCAGGACAGCTCAGAGTCTAGGGGGTAAGCCAAGCCCCATGCTTGTGGGGAGAACCCTGCATCCCAAAAATGAAGCTCTGGAATCTCTATGGAGCTACTGTCACCTTTAACCTCTGATCCACTCCTAAAAAGCTTCCCCCACCCATCACTGTGGGTACAGTACAGGCACAGCCCATTTTGATAGAGAGACTTTGGAATGACTCACTGGATCGCAACAATGTCAACCTGATCTATTCCCTTTGCAAAAGGCCACAGCTGGTCTCCTTTCAGACCAGAGAGGGGCATGGTAATGCATTGCAAAAAGAAACAGGCTGTGTTCTCCCACCCCACAACTACCTCCAGCTTTACTCAAATCCAGCTTTTGCTATGCTATTTTTTTCCAATTAAATAAGCAAGCAAAGTGAGCAGTCTTTCCTTACTGCTACAGGGTTTCTGGTCTTAGGTTACCGCTCATAAAACCTCCACGAACACCGATATTACTTTATCAATCACTTGCACTGAAATGAGTCTTTCAAAGCTCTTGCATTCTAGGCTTGCAATGCCTCCAGTTACACAGCATGAGAGCTCCGAGAAGTAAATCGGTTTGTGCAGGGACACACTATATCAAGTTTCTGGACTGAATAATATTTAAGCTTCCTTCCCCTGTAGATTGCAGATATTACATGATGAAGTACAAAACCCCTGTTTGCAGTTTAAGGGATCAGAAGGACCCAAAATTACCCTCCTCAGCATTCTCTTCAGCCATACAAGCTATCACTTACGCTGATGTTATAGCTCGGTATCGCTCCTGCCCTGCTGTGTCCCATATCTGAGCCTTTATTGTCTTCCCATCAACTTGAATGCTTCTTGTTGCAAACTCTACTCCAATGGTGCTTTTGCTTTCCAAGTTAAACTCATTGCGAGTGAATCGAGACAGAAGGTTACTCTTGCCTACTCCAGAGTCTCCAATAAGTACAACTACAAGACAAAAATGACATGAGAATCAGATTCCAGATGTAGACAATACATTGACAATCACCTGCAATAAACATTCATTTTCCGGAACGAAGCATGAAGGAAAAGCACGGCAAACCCACCACCCTTGTCATGGGTCTGCGGCCCAAGTGTTGATATTTCTAGAAGACCAGAGCTGCCACATTCGCCAGCATTTTGACCAGATGTTAGGCTCAAATTTTACTTGTTACGTTTCAGTCTCCTTTGCCCAGCATGGGAGAACATTCCTCCTCCAGGAAGAATATACATGGCTGTCACTGCAAAAGTCAGGGACAGTTTGGATTTCACATCCTTATAAGAACGCTAGAACTGAAAAAACAAAACACATAACTCACACCATGCAAATGAAATCTGTTTGGCTGAAGAAGTGCAAGACACAGGGCAGGCAGCAGACTCTGCCTGCATTTTACACTCCTTATCCCTTTATATACATCTATCTATAGAGAGAGAGAGGTTCCCCACTGGGGTAGAAAAATTTGTGAATGGAAAAAAGAAGAACCAAACCCCAAAAAACCCACAAGACCACCATCACCCTGATGGACAGTTTAAAAATGTTACCTGAGCCACAGCACTCTGCCCTGCCGCAGTCCCTTGCTGCTGCTGTGACTCCCGGCCACTTCAGGCCAGAGCCTGAAACTGCTCTAAAATGCTGCCAGGGTATCGCTGGGCCTCAGAACCAGAACCACCATCCGCTCCCCTGGCTCAGCTCGACTCATCACAGCACCAGTGCCAAGCAAACTAATTGGAAGGATTCAGCTATGCTTGACAAGAGGTTGGATGGAATGTTTAAAGTCTGGTTCCTACAGGAAAAAAAGCATCACGAGGATTTGCTGCAATATCCTGTAATGTTGAGCTGAAAGGTGCAAGTTTAAGCGTAACTTAAAACTCACTACCGAGATGCAGGCCACTGGATGAAACACATTCACACCCCTGAGTCACCCCAACAGGAGCCTCTGCGGATGAACTTATGCCCTTAATGAAGATAAGGTACTGAACTGGCAACAGAAAGAAATGGAGGAGAAAGGACGAGTTAAGATCCTTGAGAAGAATGGCTAATAACCTTAAAATTCAACAGTGAATAAAGACCAGTCAAAGCAAAAGAGTGAATGCTCAGGTGACAAAAAAAAACAAACAACAAAACCACACAACCTTGTGGCTATGCTTGTTTTGAAAAAACAGAAATATTTGCTCAGTAGCATACTTAATTGAACAGTTAAGACACTGCAACGCAGTGTTAAAGATTGCGTGGTACAACAGAGGGACGAGCACACCAAACACACTTCAATCACATGAGAAACCCTCCACCGAGTCTCAGTTTCGCAGCGCAAATACTCCCATCTGCTGCACCACACAGCAGCCTTCTGAACACCATCTTCTATTTAAATAATGCAAAACAATTTTGACACACGGGATTTTCTCTGACTGTAAGGGCAGAGCAGCACCTTTTAAACAGCCTCCATAAAATGAAAATTGCAGCAAATGCTAGCTTCAAACATGGCCTTGTGGAGAAGACTTCATCAAAATAAATACCTTTCCAGCTTCCTCTGCCAGCTGACTCAGCACGCAGCTAGCCAAGCTACAGAAGTGACATCAAGCCCAGAGCTGGCTCTGTTAACCACTTCTGTTTATGAAGATCACAAGTGCAGGTAGGTGGCAAGCACGTATGCTGAATGCAAATAGGATTCTGCCTTCCTACGTGACAGGTCAGCACTGTTCAGTGTCAGCTGCCCTGACACCACTGAACAGCTTTGCTGGCACACAAGGTGCTAAACCTTAATAAACGTAGTGCAAGGGACAGGGCACCTAACTGCATCATCACCGCCTGGCAAACTGCCACAGCTTTCCTCGGCAAATAAGCTTTTTGATAGTATTTTGGCAGGTTTAGGCCACAGTTTTAGATGACATCATATTTGTATTCACTGGGACCCGTTACAAACAAGTTCCCAGGAGGCAAAAGTTGTCAGCTCCCTTCGCGCGCCTCAGTCCCGCTATCACCCAGCATTAGCTTTGGCAGCGGCCAAACACTTCTCTAAACAAGGAACGCGATCTACACACATAGCTTCCTTTTCCTAACAGGTTGTTAAGTATTCCCCTCAAACATACTTTTGTTGCTCAGTGCATATTTCAAAGTACAGCTTTACATCATTCACCAATTGCAATTCCTCTGCCAGGTTGGGGTTTTTTTTTTCCTTACCTTGTCTGAATCCCATGCTGTTTACATTCAGAATGGTTTCCAGCACCAGATTAACATGCCCCAATTAAAAGAGGAAAAATGTTATACCTTCCTCCTTGAAGTCAGCTATTTCCTCTACTTAATTGGGCCATTGCGGCGCCTCTTGAACGCGGACACAAGGACAGCTTGCAATGTCAGCAGGTGCCTAAGGCTCCTCACACTTTCTGCATTTCTGCCAGTCTGAGCAAGTATCACTCTGAATACAATTATGAACAAAACAGCTTTAACAGCCACTTAGACTGTATTATTAATTTTGCTTTCCTTATCAAACCACCTCATTTTGATATTTTATACTACAGTGTTCTATGTATGATATTCTAGGAATAGAAATGCAGTAGGAATGACCCTGGAGGCCTGCGTCCCATTCTGAAAATCCCAGGCAAGCAGTTTCTGGGAGGGAAATGACGTTATCTAGTTCTGTGTTAAAGCTAATTGTTCCTGCACACACACTTTTATTGGGCTTTTCTTCCAGAAATTCACTCCTAATGGTTAGAAATTGCCTTCTAATTTTCAGAAGAAATTAGTGGTCAGCTGATGGTGGTGTTCATGTGCCAGCAGTGCCCATTAGCTTATTAGTTTCTTCTCCCAGTGGTGTCTATGCAGGGGTATTTACAGAACGCAACCACATCTTCTCTAGGCTTTGTTCTACTAGCTAAATAAGCCAAACTCCCAAATGTTTCCTTATAACCAGACTGTCCATTTCCCCAAACACCTTTCCCTTCTTTCAATTTCTTTTCCACACAGTGAGAAGAACTGCACACATCATTCTAGGCGAGGTCTCCCTGTGATGTATTCAGGGATTTTACTATTTCCATCTCTACTAAGCATACCTTGAGCTGGAATTATCTTTTCCTGACCATACCACCTTGATAGCTCAGTCTGCCTGTGATCAGACCTAGTTGTCCCAGCTTTTAGTTGGAAAGCTCTTACTTCACCAAACTCTTCTGAGCCCTCAGGTGGCAAACCTTACACTCTGAATCCCACTCCATTTGGAGGGCTGCGGTCCTCATCAGCACACAGCCCTTCCACTGCTGCACTCCGACTGTCTCCTGTACCACCCAACTTGCGTCATCAGCAAATTCCTTTACTACATCAGCACTGGAAGGAGGAACATCTAGAGGGAGCATTTAAGCGAGTTCAGCCACAAGACCTGTTCTAGAACACCTCCATCAATAACTTTCTTTGGACCAGCGCTTCCCTTACAGGAGCAGCGCCTTAGAAAGCTTCGCAGTCAAGGGAGATTAGTATTGGCACATCCTGAAAGTCATGAGAGTGATCTCCCCACCCCAGGTGACTACTGCTAGCCGGGTCATTTGTACTAGGTTAGTGATGTGCCAGTTCAATACTTGCCACCACGTGCTTCAAATCAATGCATTTGACTATGTACAGCATTAAACCTTTGGGGTGGTTGAGACAAGCATTTAGTGGACAAGGGAGGAAGGAAAAAACCAACAACAACAAAAAAAGAAGAGTATGAAGTCCACACTACTGGATAAATTTCATTCTGCAATTCCAGTTTTATTTCTGTAGAAGACCAAAATAAGAATTCAATTTCCTAAGTTGTATGAAAAGCAATTTGGAGAACTACATCAAGAAAGGATTATTAATTTTTCACCAACATTCCAGCTCACTCACCCAATTTTTATTTCTGTTAAACCTCTTGGTTGAAGTTTTCAGAAAAATACTTTAATTATCTCATGCTATATGTTATGGGCAACCTAATCAGCTTGAAAATAGAGAGTCCAGCACCACTAGCTTGTATTGTCTCTGGTAAAAGTTATTACACAGGTTGCATATTCCACAAATTAAAACAAGTACACCAGCACCAAGGGATTACAATGTCTGAAAACACTTGTCTCTGCATTGAGCTCTGCTATTAAGAGGCATATAAATAAAGAGCCTGGACACATCTTCGTGGCCCCCAGAAGAACCTGCTGATGAACATCTCTTCCTGCCCACTTCAGTTGGAGTTTAAAGGAAACGTGAATAAGAGGACTTGATCCTGCACCTTGTAGGTAGCTGGTGATAAACTTAACATGATCAGGTGTTACATCAATCTCCCTCCTCACCTGTGTCCCCTCTGTTTTATTCACCCATTCCTGTCACAAAGAGAACTGGCATCTCATTCGTTACCTGTACACACATCCCCTAATGCAGAGCTGGGCCTCCAAACGCCTCCGTAGCAAAACGGCTAAGAGAGCAGGTTTGTTATAGCACAAAAGTGTCTCCACAGCTAAGGCAGCGAAGGCACAGGGCTTGCTACCGTTGTAGAAATCAATAGCTGTCACGCAACCACTTTTCCTCCCAAATTTCTCTAAACGAAACACACCAGAAAAATTGTGTTTTCCAAAACCCAAACCAAGAAGTTTGTTCAGTTTCAGAGCATTTCCTCACTATCGAAGGGAAAAGTTGGAGAAATGAATATGATGCAAAGTAGGAAGCAGAGAGCTGAAACTGGAGTTTTGCCTAAAAACAAGCTGAATGTCACTGCAGGTCAGGTCTGCGTTCAGAAACAACCCCAAATCCAGAGTTCCAGATGTTCTCAAGCTTTGCCTATAGAAAACGCAGAAGACATCTCTACAAGTGAGGGTTACTTTGATAACGACTCACCTACTGCAAGTACATTACTTTAATCAAAAAGAGTAAAAAGTTCCTGCAATTAAGCCAGGCTTGATTTATTAAGTAATAAAGTAATATCCTTACATCACTATTAAATTTTCCTCCCATTAAAATCAGAGCAAGATTTCTACAAACTGGACTTCACGGGTCTTGTGTTTCCTCAAGTGCAGTGCTGGGAACAGTAGGCACTGCTCTCAACTAAACCCAAAAAGTATGGAAGAATATAAAAGACATGTAGCTGGACAAGTATTTACCAGAAACTATCTTTTTACAAGCTAGGCTTAGGCTTTAGCACATGCTAAACTGTTGCAACAGAGTCAGGAGAGGGGTATTTTGTAACAGATACTGGGATTGAATGGTATAGCAGCATAGGTGGGCTCAGCTTACACCCACCAGCACAGCCAGCCAGAGTGTGACATACAGCTGCTGTCAGTGGTGGACAGGACAAAACCAGAAGTCCCATGTAAACAGACACGTGGCAGTTTAACTTAAGAGTACCAAAAGACAGCTTTATCACCCAATTATTTTAAACCAAGTCAAACTCTGAACTCAGACTCACCAACCTACCATGTCCCTTGAAGTTCATAAACCCAGAGGAACCACCTTATGGGATTAAGTGTCCTTATAGACCAACACCCACCCTGACTGTCAAGAACCGATGTCAGAGAAACACTATGTGCAACAGAACAAACAGGCAAACCTTTGTCCTAGCAAGCCCTTGCATCTTCAAACAAGCAATACCTTCAGAGCTGCCATTGTAACCATCACACTGAAACGCCCCAACATTTTTCTTCCTCTGTAAGTTTGTGCAGTCTTTCAAACCCATTTACAGTATTTATAGCAGTGCACCACTCCAAAATTTGCATACACGTTCTGCGAGACTTTACGTCCTTCTGGTTTTGCCTGCTCAGTAAAAGCAGCATTACAGATATCCAGAGAAATTATGACAAACAGTAGATACTTTCCTTATTTGCCCATATCTCTCACTGTTTCAATTTTCATAAAGTTGTAAATCACTTCAGTACAAGGGATATGAATCCATTAGGTCTCGCTTCTGATTATTTTGATGCCCTGCCCTTCTCCATCTTTTTAGTTCTACAACATCCTTTTCAAAATGGGTATGCCTGTCTTGCCTACATTTTCCCTCAATCCCAAAGATATCTCCGATTCTTCTAACATCAGCTTAATGTTCCCACTGAGTTCTCATTTCCTTTTCCACGAGTTTTTACCTACCTCTTGCCTTTCTGACCAGTGCCTGGTAAAGCGGCATTCATTTCAGAGACCTACTCACAATAATTTTAAGATCATTCCAGAGCGGTGACAGCTTGTTTAGAACCACCATCACCTCTGGGAAGTTACTAAAGTTTCCACAATTTATACTACTCTGCATTTGTTGTGTTATTTCAGCTGCCACATTAATCCCAGTTATGTGACACTGCATCAGCTTCCTGCAGCCTACTTTAGCTCTGCAAAGCCCGAGTCGCTCATCTTCACAACACCACTTTCATAGCATTCCCTGCACTCCCAACAGCTCCTATAAACTAGTCAAAACAGAAGCTTTAGGAGGGGCGATCAATTAAACTAGATTTGAACTCTTCTGTATAACTGGATCTCAATTATTTCCCGGTTATACAAGGAAGTAGGTTTAATAGAAGATAGGACCTTTCCCAACAAACTCTGCATCACTGATATTCCCAGGCCTTCAGAGCTAAAGCATTAACTATAAATATACTGACAGAATTGTACGAACAAGTAAAAGCTTTGATAACTCGTAAACATACATACTTATATAATAAGATTGCTTGATGCGATTAAACTAGTGAGCAGCAAGGCCCTTGCCAGTGCTGCAAGCTGAGAAGAGAGGCCTCTCTTGGTGCTTTCCGATTTGATTTTCATAGCAGTATCGACGACTGACTTATAGTTAGAAATAATGCCACTTTCCAGATGGCAAATGGATAAAACAGGCAACAACAACAACAAAAAAAAAGTAATTCCTCAAAGTTATTACAGGAGCTTATGAGTAAAGAAAACCACTGATGTTTTCCTTTACAAGTTGCATGATGACAAGCACTGGATCTCTCACCATCACAACGTAACAAGCAATACTCTAAATCCTAAATTCAAATTTAGAATACCATATTGCAATAAACAGCTATTTTTTTTTTTTTTTACAATACTTCGCTTGGTTTTGCAGTAGGATTTAAAAAATTGGATAGTCAGCTTCAAGACATCAGCATTTCTGTAGGTGTTTCACAGCATGCTTTATGAACCTTTACGGCAGGCCGGGATTTTACTCTGCAGGGAGTGAAAGCTGAGCACTTAACTACAACCCGCCACACGTTAACCCAACTTGCTGCTGCAGGGCTGACTGGAATGGCACCAGTCCTGGAAAAAAAGGAATTTCTGCCCTTCTCTGCTGGGCGCTGCATGAGGTGCCAGGGCAGGATGAGAGGCTGCTGGGTGTGCAACACCAGTCACGTTCACCCCTCGTGAAGGGCGCTGAATACAGAAGGCGGCAAGTAATGCTAGTTTATGAAATTAGCCGCATCATCTACCAACGCTGAGCAGGTAACTCATTTACTTTCCAGTCCTATCTAGTAGTTGGAAAAGGAAGTAGCCCCTATCGAATTGGGCATCCCCGTTGATGATCTCTGCTCGCCATCCCAGCAGGGTGGCTGTCACCTTGGCCTCTTCACAGAGCAGAAGCCTCAGCCAAGATGCAGACGCGCCAGACCACCACTACGAAAACCAGCCCAAACTCGACATTTGGGGGTGAGGGCGCTCAGCACAGGCTGCTGTGAGAGACTGAAGATAGTTCAATGCCTGAAATGCCCATCGCCATAGCAAATTACAGAGGCTGGGCCTGGCTCTTGCAGCTGAGGGAAGGCGTGGAGCTTGCCTGAGAAGCACAGCGACAAGATAAGCTCCGCATAGTAACGCTGCACGTGAGAGATTTGGCTAACGCAGGACGCCAGAGGCGTGTCGAAGGACACGCAGCCCTGAGCCCTGATAAGCTAAGCAAAACTTACCGTCCATTGCCAAGGGGCCCCCAGAGCTTGTCTGGGGAAGGGGTTCATGACCACCCCCCATAATTTCACCTGCACAGAAGATGAAGTCATCAGGGATAGCGTGCAGAAAACCAAGATGGGCACGACGGACATGAAAAGGGCGTGAACTGGGCCATAAAAGATGCCGACATGAGGAGCCCTGTGCGTGCCCACCACCGGAGGCTCACCCCATCAACCGAGAGCTTCATCGCGGGATGCAGGGGTGGTGATACACATCAGCCTCTCTCTCTTTCCTTTTCTTGTTTTTCTCCCTTTCCTCTTCCTCCTTCTTACCTTGGTGAACATTTTAATAGAAACTACACCACCACGTGGCCCTCCAGGAAGAACATGAGGTTCTCAATAGGCTGTGTTGTTAAAATGTGGAGTATGTCTGCTCCTGAAACAGCATCGCCTGTATCTGTCATCACCTGTTTTTCCAGGCTGAGAGCTGAGTGCATCGTATTGCTGGTGGGGGGGATATGTGCTCTGATATTAAAAGCGTTCTCTGAGTTAAAACCAGAGGAAAATGCAAAATACCCACATGTACTAAAGTGATGGTGGAAAAGGAAACAGCTGGGAGGCAAAATGGCAATTCTGTGCCCAAAAGTGAAAGAGCAGAGAAAATGGTCTAAGGAACTGAGACAACTTCAGGGTGAGGACTTGAGTTAGAGCCCAGCTGCTTTGTGAAGATACCACATCCCAGAAACCTCCACTACCACCTCCCAGAAACCTCCACCAAAGTCTTGGGGAAGGTGGTGTCATCGCAGAGTCCCCTGTTCCCACAGCAGCACAGGACAGTGATGTTACTTGGGCCCATGTCGGCTACGCAGAGTATGCAGAGAAGGTAAAAGAAGCAAAGAGCTTCCTAGACTTGCCTGTCCCTTCAGCACCGTTTGCCTCATCCCCTCAGCAATGCTTGCTTTGTGCTGAAGCTGTGTTCCAGAGCTGTTTGGAGACACAAATGAGCTTGACCCACAGGCAGGTTTGTGGGTGATAACAGAAGGATACAGGGTTTTGCTGCTTTTGCTGTGACTGTAGAATGCTATCCAGCAGGTATTTCCAGTGGTTCCATGGTGTAATGGTTAGCACTCTGGACTCTGAATCCAGCGATCCGAGTTCAAATCTCGGTGGAACCTGAAGCTTTTTCTTTGCCGCTCTTCTTTTTTCCCCTTCCCCCCCGACCTTCTCTGCCCAAATTACGGCCAGCCATGCTCTTCGCTCCCCACCGCGCTCCTTCGCACCCGGAGGGGTCCCGGCCGCACCTCACCTCACCTCCTCGCCCGGCTGGTACCCACCAGCCTTGTCCCCAGAGCGGCGGTGCGGGTCACCTCCTCCCACCCGCACACCAAAGTTTGGGGCAGGTTGGCCCGAAGCCCGCTGGGTCTGCCAGATCCGTCCTGTGAACCAGGCCCAGCGCATCGTGTGAAGCCCATGGAGCTCGCGGTGGAGGTGGTGGAGATGCCGATGAGCTCCTTCAGCTCGGGAGGTGGCAAAGAGCCCCGCTGCCCACCCTGCTTCTCCCTTCCCAAAAGCCAGTCCCCCTCGCCTGTCCCTGTGCCATGGGAGACACCAGCTTTGTCATCGGTTTCCCTCAGCGCAAGCTTGAGACCTAAATAGAAGAGGATAAAAATAGCGCTCGTGTCCAAACGATTAAACCAAAGCCCTTAAAACTGCTCTTTTCCCACCAGCTTGCCGCTAGCAGCAGCAGGAAGTTCGCCATCTCTGCCATCAGCGGCTGTGTTATCATTCCTGTGTGTGGAAAGTAACCCCCAGGCATCAGCGGCAACGCTGCGCATCACTTGCCGTCTGCCGGAACGATAACGAGCCCTAACGTGATCCCCTGCGTTTAAAGTTAAATACTTCACGCTGCCTCAGAGGAAACACAGCGCTGGTGACAAAGACGCGTGACGTGTGACCGCGCTGTGTCACACCGCGGGAGTACGGTGAGGTCAGAGCACCAGGGCCCGGGCTCGCACCACGTCCTGCCGCCAGCCTCCGGCCTCCCCTGGCAGATCGCGCAACTCCAGCTTCTGGCAGGTGCAGAGAACCCACCGAGCATTCGGGGCGTCGCATCCCCAGGACCCTGCCCCACGTCTCCCGTGGGAATAAGCGCGTGTGCCAGTTCTGTACAGGCATTGCGAGGCCAGGCCTCGCAGGAGCAGAAAGCGTAGTGGCGAGGTCTGTAGGAGCCTGCGTTGTCTTTGGATGCATCCTTTTTATCTCCAGATGAACCCGGAACGCCCAAAATCTTGAGTCTGGAACTGCTTGTCCCACTCCTGCCGCTCATCTCAGAAGTTCTCCTACTGCGTGGAGAAGTGCATTAAAATTGATAATGGGTACTTGTGTGTATCCACAGGTATGGGCTATATTTATAACTCTGTAGTTAAGGTTTCCGTCTCACATCCTGTTTGCAGTTCTCCACTGAACTTTGTTGTTAACAAGCTATTAATTTTCACTTGACGTTTCTCAGGCCCGGTTTCATCCTCCAGAAATGCTATTAGTTCTACAAAAATAAAAATAACACAGATGAAGTATTTTTAGTTATCCTCTTGTAAGAGCTGTTCTCCTTTTTGTGTTTTGGATTTTGTCGGTGAGCCTGGAAACACCCTTTATTTACATTTTTCATACGCATAAGCATGACTTCCTCTTTCACCAAATTGCAGATGTTCCTCAGCTGGAACTGGCTCATCCCGCGCAAGACTTTAGGGCACAAAGTGAGGACAATGCCTTTCTGGGCTGAGCTAAAAATCACGGCCCCTACATTGCTGTACCGCTATCACTTGTTGAACTTAAGACGTTACGAACCCGAGGCATTTTTGCCAATTTATGCACCATAACAAGAAAATTTCTGCAGATTGCCATGGATATGAGCAGCGGCAGGGGTTATGTCTAGCCAAGCCCGTTTGAATGCATTCGATCATTTCTAATCAGGCTCTTCACGGTATAGAGAGGCAAAACTGAAACAGCAGAAAGAACTTTGCATCTAAACAGGAGTCAACTGCCAGCAGGGCACGAGGACAGCACTGGACTAGCAAGGAGCTCCAGAAATTAAAGTCTTCTGTTTTGTTCCTGTTCGGGCAAGCCCCAGATGTGAATATACAGAACCTCAGGAAATGTCGCTGTCAGCAAAGACTGGTTTTGGCCGCTCTGCTCTTTCTTTGTGTCCCCTCCCGGAGTGTGCTGCTGTAGTTACAGCCTGGCCTGGGACACCTCCCATGCGTATGAAACATGGCCAAAAAGCAGAGGTCAGGCCTGAAATAACAGAGGACTGTGTGCTCCAGGACTGACAGCTTTTAGTGTGAGAACAGTCATTCAGCACTGGCATTTCTGCCACGTTAATTGCCATTAGTGTCATCCTTGCGGGAACACTGAATTCATTGCAAACCTTGAATTAGCGCGCTCTCATAATTCTTCAGTTTGTACTTAGGCACCGCCATTTGCGGAGGCAGCACATTCCAAGGAACTGGAGCAGAGACAAGGAATGATACTCAGCTGGCCCTTGGATGTTCAATTTAGCGAAGAAAAGAAGCAGAGGTCACACTCATAACTGCATATTTATGGTTCTGTTCTGGAAATTCATACAGCAGCTGCCAAAAAGGGCCCAGCTTTTGCCTCGGCAGCACCATTAACGTGCAGATGTGTGTCAGAGCTATCAGCTCCGAGCTGCTCAGCCCCAGGCGCTGTGCATCAGGCTCTCCCCGCACCTGATTCTCGCTTCATTCTCCCACTTCCCTCCTGCCACCGACTCCCGAGACCCGGAGAGAGATCCTGGCCTAATAAAGGGGGAAATTTGCCACCGGCATTGATGGTTGTAGCATTCCCACAACAAGGTCAAGGTCTCTTTGCAGGATACACCAGTGCTATCTGACATGGAAAGAGAAGAACATGAAACAGGGATGGCCAGTATTTGCTGCTGGTCCCAGCTTTTCTGGCTAAAAATCGCCATTCACACTTTGCAAAGCCCATCACTTTGCAAAGCTTGGAGAAAGATTTGGAATTGGAAATGGCGATAATTCGAAATTGTCCTTGAATGGCTGTTGACCCAAATTCCTGTTTCCCAGATGAAAGGAGCCACTGGCTTCCCCGGGGCGGAAGGCAGGAAGGACAAAAGTGAAGCCCCAGAACCTATTCTGTTTTATCAGAGGAGAAATATTTCCTAAGGGGGAAATTCAATCAATACTTTGCAATTTCCTAACAATCCATGAATCATTGCAATTATGCAGAGATAATTCAAGCTTTCCAATCCAGCTGCTAAATTAGAGAAAAGCATACTCTTAGTGCTCACTACCCCCAGCTTGACATGTCAGTCAGAAAAAACCCTTCAAGTATAAAATCCATCCGCTGAAATGAAAAGAAACCCTCTCTTTTTAAAACCCTGGCCAAAGTTAAAGGATTGACAATGTAGAAGGAGTTCTATTTTTCAAGTAATTCCATTACAGAGGTAGGGGTAATGAAAATGCATGGAGTTGATAAGAATTTTTCTGTTGATAACTCACTTGAATTCCAGCATCTGCTATATTCTTTTTCCAGTTCTACAGTTCTAAGGAAAAAATATATGAGAAGAAATGGACCCAATCAAAATTATTTTCTGTAAATCAGCCTTTTCTTTTCTAACCCTGGAGTTGGAATAAAAAAGGACCTGGATCTGAACGGGGACCTATCCAAAATCAAACCTCATCCTGGTTTTCTGTTCTCTAGGGATCTCTGCAGCACTGAAGAAAGGGTCGGAATGGAGCAGCTCCAGAAAAATTAGCCATCTTCTGGAGACATTTTTTTGCTAGGATGATATTATGCTAAGCAGAAGGGAAGGAAAGCTTTCTGTATGCTTTGGGAACAGGAATCGAATGCAACAGACTCGATGACTTGGTGTTTCTTGTGATGACTGTCAAAATGAAGTCATCAGTTTCTTGCATCCATTTTGGACACAACACACATCTCCTTGTCTGTGTCTGCTGCCTCCAGAGACAAATTAGCAAGATAATACTGGCAGCTCTGGGGTAATTGCTGGCCAAGATATAATTTCTGAGGCATGGCTCAAAATCTTCTTCCCCTTACTACACCCTGCCGCAGGGTTTTATTTCCTATCTAGGGTCAAAATCTGCTTGATGTTGGTGTCGCTACCAGACAAATACAATATCAAAAACGGCAGTGCAAACATTATCACACATCCCATCATCTTCTAATTTGGATTCAAAAGATCAGCCCTGGGGAATGGAGAAAGCAGTTTGATTTCTGTGGCCAATTCATTCACTGCTGAAACAACCGAACGGAGCTGGCTGGCTTTGCTCAGTGTGGTGATGTTTGCTGTGAAGCTGTACAATTATCTGGGGAGCCAGGCTGAGACTATAAAACTTTGCTCATTAAGATCATTAGAGAGCTGTCAGATGGAACAACTGGGATGGCTTTGATCTGGCAGAATACCCTTCCTCCTCTTCCCAGACCTTGGGAATGATCCAGTTTCCCATAATCCTTTTTTTTTTCCAAGTCATTCAAACAATACTCAGTGGTTTTTTTATAGGGCACAATAACTTCTTCAGGCAAACTGGAGGCTGTAACAACTATAACAAGATTAATTTATTAAATAGAAACCCTGATATTTCAATGACTCCTCTATAAATATGTTCGTAGTTGGTTTTGCCAAGAAAATGACAAAATGTTGCTCATAATCCCAAAGATATTCCCTATAAATCCACTAGGTGTCCTACTGTTTTCAAGCAATTAGGCTCAAGGTTGGTTTGCGTTTTTTTCCCTACTTTTGCCGGTGAGGAATTAGTTTGAGTCTTTAGTGGAATGAGGTCTGGGTTTGCAGGTTGAAGAAACATGTTCGTGTGGCTTGTGCGACACAACGGGACATCTGGCTCACAGGGGCAGCTCTTTTGGCAAATGGCAGTAATGTTTCCCACAGAGACCAAATCGAGGTTAGAGGCTGGAAGAGAAAAAGGAAAAGAATCTGCCTTCCTCTCTTGGGAATGCTAAACCAGATCCATCAGAGCCAAATCCTCTTCTCAGTCAACCTTGGTCATCTATTTATAGGATTGCTAAAGCGAGCCTGATGCTGACCTCAAAGGTGGTGGCAACACGTGTTAACCTTCATCAGAGCTGCTCTGCACAGGCTGCAATTTTGACATTCCTGGTCTGGTCACTGTTCCAGTCCCTGATGGGCATCCCGCTGCTTGCCAGCGCTCATGCCTGCCTGCAAAGGCCAGCATGGCACCCGCTCATGAGGTGTCCTGTCACTCCGAACACAGAGGGCATGTCAAACACATACTAAGAAAAGCAGGCTGAAAAATAGCCAAAGGATAATTTTCTCATCCCAGAAAATACTTGGGGCGGAGCGTGGCCATCGGAAAGCGTCCAGCTGCTCGGCTGGTACGCGACCCAGAGCACCCACGCAGTACCAAGTCGTGCTATTTGGGACATCCCTCAACCGCCTTGGGATCTGTTACTTGCACTGAGCCCCAGCACAGCAGTATAAACCTCTCCGAAACAGTCATCTCCTAGGTATCTAAAAAACATCTTTTGTTATTCAGTGTCTTTCAATGCTCAGAAATTGGTATTTGCAATGTATCGGTGAGGGACAACTACGGGGTGGTTTTTATGGTCTTGTCACTGAAGCATAAATCACATTCTGTATAAACACGACAGACTTACCCTCCACCAAGCAGCGATCATTGCATTTGCAAACACCCCTCCCCTTCACTCTAGTTTCACAGGGGTGCCACTTCTTGAATTTATGTGAGGCAAGTGAGGTGAAAATCAGGTTTGTTTCCTATTGTAAAAATGCCAGAGGCAAAGATGTGCTCAAACAATGAGGTTATCTCCTTTTTCCGTAGGTGCTTCATGGCCAGAAGTACTGCCCACAGCTATTGGCTGTGCAAACAGGCGTCAGCACAGGTTTAATCACAAGCTGCAAGGGGAAATCAGAGGGGGAAGAAGAGCCTCCTGTCCTTGGCCCACCAGGATTCCTTGCCATCAGGCATTGCACATCACGGGAAGTGCCGAGCATCTGTCCTGTGCCATGTGTTACTGCACTGCCTCTATTTCTTGCTATTTGTGTTGAAGGTATGACAGTCATTTTCCTGACAACCTGCAAGAAGAAAAGATACTTCCGACTGTATGTATATATAGATACCTGCTGTAGTACCATCCATATGCAGTGTGCACCATATGCTAACTGTGAAAGAGTTTAACCTGGTCCAGTGCATGTGTTTGCTGTTATACATAACAAATACGTCAAGCCTTGCCATGATTCAGTGCATTATGCATGGGAGCCATCTGGTCCCGTAGCTGAAGAAGCAAACTGAAAATTTGATAAAAGCACAAACAGTCACAATGAGAGAGACTGAAAAGATGTGTTGAGATTCCAACCAGCAGCTTCCTTCCGTGGGGGCTAATCCCATCACCCATTGCCTCTTTCCCTGGAAAGCTGCTGTCAGACAGGTTGCACTCTCAGCTCTGTGAGTACGCACACCTTTGGGGTGCTAAAGATGCATTTCGTGTGCTTGAGCAAACCTTCTGGGACAAGATTTTTCTCAGTAGCCAGCTGTGCAGTGAGTAAGATATACAAGATGTTTGGAGCACAGCACGTTTCATGGAGCTTGGATTGATCAGGAGCTCTGGCTGCTTTAAAATGCACTCTCGATCATGATTAGTCATTAATATTGTCTCACTCCTGTGCTGAATTACAGCTTATGTCTTTGACAGACTGAAAGGAGGTCCATCTCAGCTTGCCTAGATGTTCTCAGCCCTGGGGTGGGATGTATTTTGGAGGGACTGAACCACCAGGGTACCAAAGAGGAACTCGGTGCAATTGATGAGGTAGAGTTTGGGATGGCTTGGATTTGGCCAAGAACTTGTGTACAACTTGGCCAGGAATACTGGGTTACTAAAACTGGCTTAATTAGATTTTGGAGCCAGACCAGGCTTCCCCCACTTTGACCTTGGTTTCTGATGCTTGGAGGGCACAGGGAAGGCAGGCAGACAGAAGATGCCTATTTTAGCATGTCTCTGCAGGGAACGCGCCCGCTTCAGACAGGTACACATTTGTTTCCTCTGACACCAAATTAATGGGAATTGATGTATTGATTCTGCAGTTCTCCTAAAAATTGTTTCAAGTTTTGGCCTGTTTCCAAGCTGGTTGGATGCAATGTGCACACAGCTCAAGACAGATATTGAATTATTCTAATATGAATGCAGTTTAAAAAATTCAGTTCCTGGTGAAATTCAGAAGATAACAGCATTATGATCATGCAAATAATGCAGCCGTTCCTCCTTTATATAGTCTATTTTCCTGCCCAGCTACTCCTTTCAGCTTAATACAACCAAGCCCCTCCAAGATCACAGAATTATTAAGATATTTGCCACTAGTGCAAATTCATTGAGTATTTTTCATCGTTTTTTTCTTGCTTGTTTTGAGAGTACACTGTCCAGAGCAAATGCAATCCGCTGTTCTGTGCTTGTAGAGAGTATTCAGGGTGATAGCAGTCCTCTAGGGCTCTACCAAAATTAATATGTTACTGCCATCACTGTTGCTATTATTATTAATTTTATTATTAATACTATTATTATTAAACAATAATAACCTGAGTTAGTCATTTGCCAGTCTCAAGGGTTAAAATCTACTGTCTTTGTGGGTATTCCCATACTTAACTAGCTAAATACTAGCAAAGTATCCACCTCATATACTGTATTTGTAGACTATCGGAACATCTCTGTGCTAGGTGAGCTCCTGGTCCTAGAAAGAGAAAGCATCTTGTATTGGGACGGAATAAGAGTCTTGTATTTTCTTGCTTTGATCATCATGTCTCTGCTTTTATCATCTCACTAGGGAAGTTACTTGATGTTTCTTTATTTTGAGTGTCAGCATGGCTCCTGCAAATGTTTGAAGTCATCTTTGGTTTTCATTTATTTTCTGGCAAAACAGCATCCATCTGCAGTTTAAGAACAGAATATATAAAAAACTGCATACGACCCCAAAGCACAGAACACAGAATTTCTGGGCAAAATTCTCTTCTCAGTTACATAACTCTGGGGTAGTGTCTGCATCTTTCTCGTTGTTACTCTGAAACCCATTTTCATTTCATTGTATCAGACCCAAAGGATCTACCGCACGCGGCTAAATCCGATTTCATCACAACTGTTGTAATTTCCTAGGCTAACTTACAATCTCTGAGGAAGTACATAAAGACGCATTTACAGTACGTGGGCCTCAATACCCTAAGAAATACGCTGCTGTCAGTTGTTTTCTGTTAGTAGTTTTCCATGCAAATAAAGACACGGTGTAGGTGGAGAACTCTTGAGCTGTCTGGAGCAATGATTTTCTCCACATACACAAGCAGAGAATCTGCACTGCATAACTGAGCTAATTTTTAAAACATCGTGTTCAACAGCTCTTTCTTTAAACAAAGATATAGTTTGCTCTAAATTGTTTGATATTTATTTTGTATAACTCCATTCCTTGGCTGTGCATGCTATAGAAATGCTGTTATGCTACAAGAAGACAGATTGCCTGGACTGGAAGCCCCAGCCCTGATTCAGGGAAGCACATGGTTTCCTTACAATGATGATGATGATTATAATTACTATTCAGTATATGGGGCAATTGTTTTTGGTGTTTAAAACAGAACAAACCAAACCAAACCAAAGCTGTTTTGGAAAGCAAAACATTAGAAAACAACATTACAAAAAAATAGTTGTCAAATAGGAAGTGGTTGACCTTCAGGAGATAACTCCATCTGCAGTGTCTGCTATCCAGCGTTTCTAGTGATCAGAAAATGGAAAGAAAAAAAATCCCATTAAATATCCCAATACTCCTTTAGAAAACAATGCACCCCCTTTTCTGTAGGTATAACATTTTACATCTCCTGTTCAACGGCTGCTAGTGTCAAAGGCCAAGTACGTGGAATGCAGAGCCTGAAGTTTTTCAGCGGTCGCTGAAGGCAAAACCATCTAAAGCTGTAGCAGATGTTCGCTTGCTTCCTGCCTGCTTATCAGCCCTGCAAAGACACCTAATTTTTGTACTTGTTATGCCAAGTGTAACTATGGAGATCTAATACAAGCTGCGCAATAGCGATACGGGGAATAGTTCGTTACGTATTTGGTTATGAATGATCAAGCAAAATGCTATGGTTTCTAAGAACTCCCTCAATTATTTCCATATGTACATTAGTGATTCCCCTCGCACGACAAGAAAATGACAGTGTGCAAAATAATTTAAGAAATACTATATTACTGCAGCTCCATAAAGATTAATTTAAATATCATTAATGAATTGTGCTCATTGGACCTTCCATAGGATCCCTTCTGATTTGACCTGCCCTTTCAATTGGGACTGTTGTCAGCAAGGAGTCCATGCAACGTGTTCAGGTGATACCAACTGAACAACAGTTCCACACCGTGCTTGATGTTAGTTGCTGGCTTTATTAAAAAAATTAAAAGTGAACCCATCTGCTGGGTTACATTTCTGCGGTGAGATTCTCCACCAACTTCCGTTCACATCCCTTTGTACAACAGGCAGAGCGAAGATGTTAGCTTGGCCTTGGTGTGTTCACATTTTGTACGTTGTTTCTCGTGCAGCGTGAAATAAGGAGCGGTATATCCCAACTGACCACATTCCTACAAGGCCTTGGATATTCTACAGAAGAGAGTTTGTAACTGTCAATTTAAAAATCAGCTACGGTGAACATTTTTTGTTGAGTAATCAAGGTGCACCTCAGCTGTTTTAATTCCTGTTTATAGTCATTATGAGCTCCTGTAAATTATAATTTCAGTATGAATGACTACATGCAAGTGTTAACACAGTATTCTATTTTAGGGCTTTGAGCTGGTTTGATGAGACTGATTGCATTTAAGTCGATATGCATTCCCAGCACAGGCAAGACCCAGAGCAATTTGGTTTATTGCTTAATAGACAGGAGTTCTTTTTCCTCCATGAAATAGAAGAAATTAAGAGATTTACTTTATGTAAATCCCAGCACAGGTGTTTTTGCTTTAAGTTTTTACCAGAAGCAGAAACGGATGGTTTTGGAATGGTTCCTCTGTCCATGTTGAAACTGGAAAGCAAAAGTGACAGCTTTGGCCTATCCCTGCTAGACATGGATATAGATATTCCCGTGGGAAACAAAAGGTTTCAGAGCAACAGTGGCTCTGCTGGTGTTTGCCACATTTCATATAACGCTCTCAAGGCAAAAGAGCACTGGGTAACCATTCTTGCCACTTTTAAAATGTTGATAGCATTGCAAATCCATGTTGACCTGGAAAACGCAAATAGCGGGCACAGTGCTTCCTTGAGCAGTCCTTCTACAGGTGATACTCTGTTGTATGACAACATTAAGGCCCATGTCCTTGAAGGAAATGAAGAGCTGTGGGGTGATTGGTTCCAGGGGAAGTAGGTATGGATATTCCTTTGAGAAAATGAGCTTCCGTATGAAAGCTGTAGACATAACATTCAGTCCCCTTCCCTTCCCCAAAGGCAAGCAACAACAAGGCAACGCATGAAGCAAAAGAGAAGAGTTGTTGAAAATGAAGCTATAAGGGACTTTATGCAAAGGATGTTTTGCAGGCAAAAGATGGATCCAATGAATGCATTGATGGGAATTGCCTGAAGCATCTGGGAAAACACCACGAGAAGTATGAAGCTGAAAGAGGAAAAAAGGAAAAAAGGGGACCCGGGGATTAAATTCATATGAGTTGGGAATGTGGAGGAGGTAAGCACAACTCTTTGGGTGAGTTCCTGGAAGGGGTGCAGTAAATATATTAAAAATCAACATATTGGTACTGTGACTGGGTAAGGGATTTTTTAGTTAAAGTATTTGAAAACAGAGGCCAGTATTTAGGCTTAGACTGTAAGGGGTAGCACAGTAGGAAGCAGGATGGATGAGATGGCTTAAAAGGGCTTCATTGTAGTCAAATTAATTCAGTTTAAATAATTAATTCTCTTTTAAATTGACTCTACTCTGCACATTTGACGTTTTGGAAAAGCTGCCATTCCCTGGCCTTCTGGTAAATGCTTTTGCATCTGTTTTCCATTGTTTTTGTCTTGAAAAAAAAAATCCTTGTCACTAACAGGAACCATCAGCAGCATGGAACAAATTGACTTGCCAAGCACATTTCCTCCCATCTCATTACTTATACTGCAAGTATTCTTTTTTGTATTACCAGTCAGACTGTGATTTAAAAAAATTTCCTGTATATTAAGATAGTTGTCTACTGGCATTATGAGTCAAATTCAAACTTGGTTAAGTAAGTGAACTACTTCAATTACATCAACATTTGGTCACACTTTTTCAAGGAGGTGCTCGAGCAGTTTAATTACTCCACAGTTCTCTCTGCCTACCTTGTTATATAGAGCTCCCGAGTGTCGCAGCAAAGGGCCCCCCCCCAGGTACGAAGCAGATCAGATATGTCGCTCTTCCTCTTCTGCTGTTCGTACATCGATTTGGAGACTTACGCAGACGAGAAGGAGCGGATCCATAGCATGATTGGGTTAAATAGGCATAGGGCAGCTTGGGTTAAACAAATAGGTTTTGTATTGTGCTCTGAAGGCGCTTTAGTTTGTGTTCACTCTCATCTCCTTTGTCAGCCCCAGGCTGCGGACCAGTTGCTAAGAAAGTGTTCGTCTCCTCTAAACTTCCCCGCTGAAGTTGGCAGTGCTGTTCTGGCAAAGGAATGCAAACCTAAGTTTGAGTTCTGACCGCGCGAGGGGTCTGTCGAGGTTAGGGGCTCCTTTGGGTAAGCTGGACAGAAACCTCAGAGAGCTCAGAAAAGGGCAGGAGCTTGGTCTGACCTATATTCACGGTGACTCACTGGTGAGATTTAATGTCGTTACTTTGTTTTGCCTCTGTTTCTTGGCAGTTGCTCACATTTTAAACAAGTACACTCTTACCTAACCGAATCGATAGATGAGTATAATTAGGACCCGATATAACAAGGCCAGCAGTTGTAACAACATAAGGGAACATTCCAAAGCAGTTACAGAAGAAAAGAATTTCAGATAATTAGGAGAGGAGTTGGGCAGTGATGCAGATTTTAAAAGTACCCAAGATAAAATAACAGATACTAAAAATATCTATATTGAGATGAAATCCTCATGACTCAGTGCTTGAGCCAGCCTCCATTCTCTAGGAATTAGTAAGAAAATCATCCAAACAGAGTAGACCGTGGTGTATCGCCTTACTCTGGTGGGCTTACACTGAAGAAGTATCTTATGCTGAAAAAGGATAGGCACAGGTCTGACTTAACAGGGCAACTGCAGTATCTTTTTGAGTATGTTCTGTAACTTTTTTAAAATCGGTGGCTTTGTTTCTACCTAGAAAAAATTCTCCTAATGACCTCTCTGGATCTTGAGTGACAAAAGCACTGGCAGCAGGGCCTGTGATGCATTCTTTTAGTCAACTGGGACATATTTTCAAATACCTGTGACTCTCTGGCTAGTAGCTGAGGAGGGATGAATCCAGCTTGCAAATAGAAATATCAAAATGCCTTTTTTTCCTTCTTTTTTTCTTTTCTGCGCAATGTGTTTCCTGACTAGCCGCAAAATTTTGAAAGCATTGAAAGTACTGTAAGCATTGGAAGTATTCTGGAAGCAAGAAGTATTTTGAAAAGTATTTGGAAACGCTGTAGAGTTTCGGAAAGGCAGAAAAGCTGTGTTATGAGAACATCAGCTACAATCTGGGTCAGTTTTTCAGCGCAGATGTGCCAGATGCATTTTCCTGGAAATCCTCCGTGACAGTTTGGGAGAAGAGTGACCCAACGTTTTCTCACCGTACAACATAACTGTTCCATGCGGCGATGTCAGGTGGGTGAAGCGCTGCTTGTATTCCCAAAGTGATGTCCTGTTGAAGCTTGTTCGGGAGCAGAGATTTTTCTCTCACAACAGTTTCAAACTGGGAGTCTAGCAAATCTCTTTGGTACATCTTGACTGATCTCAATCTGATTTGGCGGTTTTTTGCATTTTAATGATCTGGTTTTATTTCCAGATAATGACTATTTATGTAAATGTGATACCTTAGAAATAAATATGAAAATTATCCCCTAATATTAATTACAGGCTTCATGGTTCAAATACTTAATATATTAAAGGCAAATAGTGATGTAGATTGTCTCTGAGTTTATCAGTTTAGCTATTTTGGTGGTTTGTTTTATTTTAACCTGACTTACACATGTTGGACAGCGTTTCCTGAACTAAAGCAAGCTATATTATGTGCCTGGATATATCAAAGGATATCGAAGGACAATAAAAATCAAAATGCGTCATGCAGTGGTAGCAGTGAATGGAAACCCAGATTTCAGAATGTTTTTGCCTAAGAATCAAACAAATTAGTTTTACTTGGAGAGTCTCAGCGTAAGTGTTGCTAGCCATTTACTCAAAAATGAGATAATTTTAAATTAATTACAATCTTTTGCACTTCTATAGCTGCTTCCCTTGCGAATCTCAGTAGTGTTCTACAAACATTAATTAAGTCTAATAGTACTCCTGAGAAGTGGTTAACTGATAGATATACTTCACTTAACCCATCATGATATAAGTGATCTCTAGAACAAAATACAAAAACTTTAAACAGCAGGACTACACAAGAGTTCAGAGCCTGAAGTAAGTATCTTAGCCACATAAAACTGTGGGGAATGTTTAGATGCATGGAATGAAATTACTTGGCCTAGGCATGATTTGAAGATAAATAAAAGTGCAAAAGCCAAGGAACGGAGATCTTTAGTGAAGGAAAGGGTTTTCTATCTATCTGATGTGTGAGAAGATACCCCCAGCACCAGAGCACCACGTGGTGTGACTCCGGATGACGATTCAGAGAAAAGACTGCTATTTGCAGAAATCACCTCCAGATGGGCCAAAGAGCCTGAGTCGAAACCGAACCTTTAAGGCTGATGCAAGAACAGCAGCGATAACAGTTAAGTCCTCACCCCCACCCCTGAGGGTACAGGGGCTGCTGAAAATAGCAACAAACCAGCAGTATCAGTGTGCACATTTACAGCCCAAGACTGTTATTTTTGCTGGCGAATCTGCATGCATAATTTCCTTCCTGATATTACTCCACAAGGAGAAGCTTTTGTTATCTTGCTTTACTGATGAGAGCAATACTTAAAACGAGTTAGTGCTGGAACAGACAAGTTGGGTTTGGTGCATGCATTAGGACTTGGGCCATCCTCAAGCAACCCTTCCACTGTCCCGTTCTCAAAAAAATCTGCAAATATTTGTTTCAGAGCTTCCAGAGCCTACAGGAAGAGCCATTCCAGAAATCTGCTCCGGCTGTACATACTTATTTGCCTACTACCAACAGAAGAGGTATGGCATCACTCGCTTGATACCCCTACCCGCAGCTACACAGCAAAGCGCGATGTTAACTGTTTGCTCACCGATCAATACCAGTGGCCATCCAGTAGGTCCTTTTATTGTTCAACATTTGATAGTGGCTGCAACGCTGCAATGCCTCGTGAAAAGTTTTAGCAGTTGCTGAGGGAAACTTTACGACACACAGCCTACATTCTCAGATGTGCACTCTGAAATCCTGAGGAAGCAAAGCAGCACCGAAAAGTGAAATGATAATGAGTTTGCAATGCATTTTTATTTATAGAAATGACTTGGAAACATTTGGGTCTCCTCTTTGGATGCATTTTCTTTCCTTTTTGTTTCCCAGCATTTCTGTGCTTTTGGGACTACAAACTCTCACACAAATATTGGCAATAAATCCTTGCCAAGGAAGTCTACCTGCTGGAGAAAAATCTGCTCATTTTATCCACATGGAATGCCTAGACACTGCAATTAGATTTTATCCTTACTCATATACAATAAAATTCTTTATTTGCATTTTGTGAATTGTAATTCACGACCTACATGACTGATGCCTAAAGAACCCCCCTGCAGTGCTTCTACTGAGTTCAGTGGCCTTAGGATCATTTCCCCATATTTTTAGCTGTTTCAGTAAGTTCTTTATCTAGAGAAGGGTCTGAAACTTTTTTTTTTTTTTTTGGCATATATGCATGATATTCTATTGCCTCTTTTATAATTTATAATAAGCAGTTTCCCTGGAGTGCAAAAAGCTTTTCAGAAATACTATACTTGAGGCAGTAAAAGGGAGGGTAACTGCACTGTTGTACTGCTGCATCATAATATTTAAATACTTGATTATTTCATAATCTGTCCCAGAATTTATTCTAGGGCAGATTATGAAATAATAAAGTATTTAAATCATTCCAAGCAGGGACAGTCTCCTTATGTTAAAAGGGGTAAGTTTCAGATTTTCAAATATGCATATATAAAAACCCCCACGAAGATGTTGCTTCGTTTTCAGTGTGATTCCAGCTTGCCAAAGGCTCCATTTCATTGCATAACCTCCCGGATGTAGATCCATTACCGCACCGTAAAGTGGGTTACTGGACAGGGTAAGGCAATTCATCCTCAAATGCAGAGGGTTGTTTTGCCAGTTACAGGGTTTATAATTATCCATTATCATTACCTTTATAGTTATTTTTACCAAGGTTACAGATACGCTGTGTCTATTTGAAAGGTGTTCTGATGGGTCCTTTCAAAGACTCCTTCTTCCCTCCTGTAAATGAGCAGTGCACACAGCACAGCCAAGTGAGTTCAAAGGGAAAAAACTGGTAAGAAAGTGAACAGATTAAGCCCCAAACTGTGTACTTGAGAAATTGGAATAGTTTTGGCTATGGAAGCCAGTCTCTGCCAGGAAATATCCTGAATAGTAATAGCTGCATGCTTTTTTTTACCTTTTTTTTTTTTTTTTTTGAGCACTGTTGAAGCCTCATGATCTACAAGTAGTCAAATCTCACAATCCTGGGACAAAGTCTGTTAAAACCATGTCCCAGGACAGGGAAGTTCTCCGTTCCGCTCCTGGCTCTGTCACTGACCATCTGCCACTTGTCCTCTGCCTTGCTTGAGTTTACCCACATGTAAAATGCACTTAAAATAAGCTAAACCATACTTTGAAAATGACGTCAGTGCCACAAGCTAGAAATTTGGGGTTGCAACATGGAAAAAGATGGTTCTGTGGTCGCCAGTCCGTCAAAACCCTGCGCGTCTGCCTGGTCGCACTCCTGGGGAGCCTAAATCTGGCTGACGGTGCTCCACCCTGCACTTGAGAGGCCGCAGAATACCGTGTTAAGCACGCACGACGCCTGCCCACCTGCAGTTATTAACTTTTCTAATCAACTGACCATGCACGACAAAAATCTGCTCCAACACTAACCAAAGTTGAGTTCTGTTGACTTCACGACCTTGGGGTTGGTCTCCATGTGCGTGTAGACACCACAGCCTAGAGATCCCCAAAGTCCCCATGAAGGGAAAGGCTTTGCTTGAGTGACACATGGATACGTTTCTGCGCAAGGAGCCTGCAGGAGCTGGGCACACAGTAAATCTGTCTCTGCCCGTACAGTAACACTATTCACTGATGCTGCTCTTTATTCAGAAATAAATACAGCACTACAGTCATTATTTTTCGTAGACCCTTTCACACATGGCTTTAGACAAGCCTTAATGTGGAAAATTGATGACAAGCTGTGCAGGAAAGCTCTGCGGCTAGATATGTTAGGAAAGGTGACTTGATAGAGGTGGTGACAAGCTAATAATGAAATGGAACATTGCAATTAAATGTGCTGGTGGGGAAGAAAGCGTGCCGCAGCCGAGAGAGGGAGCGAGCAGCAGGTAGGTCACGGAGAGAAAGCAGAGGAGGCTGGATGGAATAGGGTGGGAAAGAGGGGGAGACGTAAGAACAAGAAGGACGGGACAGAGATAAGCACCGCGTTAGCTGCGATGGTAGGGATGGGCAGAAACTATTTGGTTTGGTGTTTGTATCAGGCCTTGCACGGTGAGGTCCGCATCCCTGACCACGATTTGCTGGCACGACACAATGTGTAATTAAATGCAGATAAGTCCTAGAAGGACTGAAATGGTGGAGGGAAATAAACAGGTCGGGCTATAAATTAACAGCAAATCAGAGACGTCTATGCAAAGTTTTACCTATGACACGAGCTGAAAAGTATGAAGACGGCCACAGAATGTTTAAGAATTACACTTCTGTAAAATTTAAGTTTCCATTAGAAATAGTCAAGAATATTTTAATGGTTATGAACCTAAACTCTGAGAGGTGAACTATTCATACATCAATGCTGCGATTTTGCCTCAGTATACACGCAGCTGAAACAATACTCCGAGAAGTAGGAACAGACCCATTAATCTTGCTTGTTAACGCTGAAGCCTAAAAATTACGCCTACATGAAAAACGAGCGAGGGCAGAGAGCACAGAATAGTTGGAATATCAAAATTACTAACACAAGCCAGAAGATGGACTTCATGGTTGCTATTTATTTGAAAAACATTTCCAGGATTAAAAAATACCAGAAACTGTCAAAGGATTTAGAAAAAATTTCAACCGGCGCACTACATAATTTAAGGGCTCGCTGCAGAACACAGACCAGCTTGCTGCAAAAAACCCTGAGGTTCTGGGTTCTTGATCTCTCACTCCACTGAGACAAAACGTCTTCATGGGTGTGGCTGGAAATGCATTTTACGTAGAAATACAAGGAATGGGCAATGTTGTTCTTGTAGTCGCTGCCTGGGATAGGGGTTTGACACATTCCTTAGTCAGTATGCTGTCTGTTGAGAAGAAAAAAAAAAAAAAACCAACAGAGAAAGACTCAGCTCACAAATATCAAACCTGGCAGCGCAAAGCTGTGTCTGCATGTGCAGGCTTGCACATGGGTGCTTCTGCCTGGGTAAAGGCTGGCTTGTGTCAGCCGCTCCGTCTCCTACACAGGGGGGTAGGAGAAGCAGCATTTCTGCTATAAACAGTCATATTCATGACAGCACGTGGGGGACAAAAGTCTCATTTTGTTCTTCTTGCTTTTATATTCTATTTGGTCAGATTTTTTTCAGAGGGATGAGGTAAACCAGTAGAGTAGCTTTGAACATACAGAAGCATTTACAGCCCAAATTCAGAACTTCATATGCATTTTCTGTCTTTATAACGAGCCACATCTAAACCCTCGAGCCAAACACCCAGAACTGAGGGAAGCTTGAATTCAAAGCCAAAATTGTATGGTTGGAGCCTATCCCTAAACATCTCTTCAAAAATAGCACATTGGTATAAAATTTTGAAACCCAGGGTTGCGGTACCCAAGGTGCCAGGGAAGTTGTATTTCTGTGTGTCGCTACAAGCAGGACTCATTTTGTTGTGCTCAGCAACATCTTGACACGCAGCACTAATCTTAGCCGCACGCTCTTAAAAGATTATTTTTGTCTCGGGCTCTTTTCTAGTCTTTGATGCAACAACCTGGTGCGGGTTACATCAAGCCTGCAGAAACACACACCCCCCCGTTTGCTCTTCCCTTGTTTTCCAGACAGCCGGCACCTCCTCCGGGTCCTGGCGACGGGCGCCTCAGGTGAGCGAAGGACGGGCATATTGGGGCCGGAGATTAATTTCTCTCGAAATTAAAGGTGCTGAAGGGGAAGGGGGG